GATTAGGCGCTATGCCCTGGTGCAGCATGCTAATCTTGTCCATTGATTGGATTGTGCGCGCCTGTCCGTTTATTGACATGCTGAAATTGTTATTATCCACTACCTTGGTCCTTCGCCCTTCCACCATACGGAATTAATTGACTGCCGTTTCTCATCTGCGACGTTGGAAGCCCCCGCACTCCAATCAATCTCTCGTCAATATATCACGGCGCACATATCTGATCTGGTGTATTGGAGCGGGAGGCACGGTACCCTCAGGTACCGAATAACATTGCTGGTCTTGCCTTGACCCACGATACCAGCTAACGCAACTTGAGGTGCAGTCAAGTCAAGTGCTTGCAGTTCGATGCAGCGCACTGCCGAAGCAGCCCCAGTTACAATCGTATCGCATCGTCCATTGCGGGACGGGAAGGGAAGGGGGATGAGCGGAAAGGCAAGGCTTCGGGCAGTTCTGCACTCTGCACTGTATTCTAAAGGCATTGGTTTGGTGGGTGGGAAGCAGGCGGTGATAGCTCGACGGTACCTTGCGAAGGCAGTGAGCACTAGGGTCTAGCAGAACACTGTGCATGACCGTCCAAGAAGCCTTTCCCGACCACCAGCGCGATGCGAGGGAGGGTTGGTGTCAGCTGTGACTGGGCGGCCTCGAGACCCTGTCCTGTGCTGTTCATGATGGTTTGGGTCTGGACATGGGTCCTTGGTCTGTTGGAAACGTGGCGGGCTGGGCTGGACAAAGGCGCTGCACTGTGCTATTCTGTCATGGCCCCTCCAGTCTGCAGATCGCATCCCCTTCTCTTTGTTGTTGTTTTTGTGCCCTGGTCAGCGGCCGAATGAGATGTTGTTAATAATCGACACTGTTTCCCCAGTGGTCGAACCATTATCGAAACGGCCTCCAGGGTTCTCTAGTGTTAACTATCGCCACGAGAGGCGAAATGTCTGAGAGAATGATCATCATCATTCCCAGGCTTCTGGAAGTTTTGTGACGTGAGTGCTGTGACGCTTGACGGGTCCTGGATACTATCATCACCATGCTGTAGGGTAGTGATTCAAGGCATGACAAAGCCCAGACCATTTTCAACACCAACCTTGATCGTGAAGAGCAGGTTGATGAATCCAGAAATGGAACCTCACAAAACACTGTGGCGTTGTCCGTCAAGGTCAAGGGTAACCTCACCTGCATACCCACACACACACACCTAACCCCAACCCCAACCCACGATTGCAGTCCAGTTTCAGTTGTACTGCAGGCTCCCTTTTTGTGTGCGTTGCACTGTCGCTTCGTCCGAAAGAAGGTCTCTCTTGGCGAGTTACTCTTTGTCGGTGGTTGCAACGTCTTTACGGGCGTCTACGAAAAGGTTGGACAAATATGAGATCGTGTTTCTTGTGTTGCATAACAGAACCAACGATGTTATCAGTGATTGTCGTTGTTTGGTGAAGGCTGACGATAAAGATAAGCAAGTGACGACGGCGGCAAAACACAGAAACCTAGTATGTATTGTAGTTACGGTATTCGGTATTCAACTTCCATGCACCTACTATGGTGTTTGATGCATCTTGTCAATCGTTTCATCATCTTGAGAGGTCCGCTTCGCCGCAAGCCTCATCTTATCGTACTGTACCAGCCGAATTCTCATCTGCATGGATGTCTAGAATGCACCGCATCAATTCACTACCGCATCTCGATTTCAAGAGTTTCTTTTGGTCTTTGATACAATACTGTATCCTTTGGCACAAATCAATCCAGCCTCTCTTTCATTCAGTCAAAATCTAGAACAGATCGTCACTTGTCTTCTACCAAACAAGCAACCACCTTGTCTTACCCTACCCTGTTCTGTTCTGCTTTGCTTTGCTCTGCCTCAATGTCAAAGCGTCCTATCAGGGCTGTCACGATTTACCGCTAAGTTACCGTGCTGGACCACGCCATGAGAAACCCTCCAGGGCTCTTGTGTCATTTGCCAGGACATCATTGCGGGGATGGGCTGCCCGATGTTGCGCTATCTATTCTGGGTCTGTTTGTGTTAATTATTTAGTGAAAGGTTTAAACTTGGTGTGCTTCTCGTCACGCTCTTGTTCTTGTTCTTTGGACTCGCTCATGCCGATCAATCTTCAAGTTGGCTAATCCTCCCGAGGCTTCCAACAATGAATTCCCGTTTCTGGAGAAAGCCTCCAAATTCGTTCCCGTAAAGTTGCGAGACCCTTGGCCGAATGCGTGAAGCTTTTGCGTTTCGGTTTCCTAGCGCAAAGCATAGCGAGACAGCCCATACTTGACAGTTCAGTAGAAATATCGCTTAACAAAGAACAAAATAGGCATGAAGTTAAACTGACCACTAACTCACGGTCCAGGGAGCAGATCATCAAGGTACTGCTGTACATCCATCAGGTCAGATACCCTTAAGGGTCTTGGTGGCGAAAGACGTTCTCACGTCCAAGTGTCTGCAGAAGACATTCGGCATCCTTAGTATCATACTGTACATAATAACTGGGATTAATTGACAGGGGAAGAGAGACATATTGACACAAATGGTAAAGTTGTGAGTCCTGTTCATCAAGGGCTCAAGGCCATGATTGAGTCAGACGTCTTTAGCTTTCTCCCCATCTGCCCACGCTGACGCAATCAGCCATCCATGCCATGCCCATGCTTCACTGTAGATAGTGGCCAGACCAGACCCATCTAGCCATCCCATTCCACGATCTGGACAAGCTGCAACCAGACGCACACATCTAATTGTTCACGGTCATTATTCAACTTGACCATCATGAGTTCTTAACCCCTCTTATATCATGAGACGAGCCCATTATCTGATGCACATAGCGTGCCATATCGCATAACCACACCGCCATTTCTCAATTGGCTGCGTCTGCTCTTGTCGGCTGGAGCGCTTCTTTCGCCGTGTCGACCTTACTCTGACTGTCTAGACTCTCTCTGTCTCACCTGGCGGAGAACAATGGTAGAAGTCCGAGCACACTCAGCTCAGCCCAGACCGCGCCACCCCTTTACCCCACGCGCCACACTTTGCGGGGACCCAGCTACGTCACCTGACAAGAGGTTCCATCATGATTTTCAGATGGGAAACTTCAGCGCTGATTCGTCATGCATTGTATTTATCTGTAAGAATGCATCCAGTCAAGTCTTGAGTGTACAGTGAAGACCCTTGTCACTCAGGTTTATGATGATATCAGCTATGAACTGCTAGGCTTCTTTGCTGTAAGCTTGGAGGAGCGAGCAGTAACGTCCTCCCTACGAAAAGTGCAGTAGAAGGAAGTAGAAGTGTCCTGCATCCCTTTACTTCACATTATTTTTAGTCATCAGATTGATCACTGTGTTTGAAAAAGACCACTTCGCGCACCACAATGAATGGAACCAAAAGTAGTTCAATTTGTAGGCCGACTACTCCTAAACTCATCTCTCAAGTTTCTGATGCACGACTCAACACTACAAGCCCAAGCTGAGACCGGCATTGCTGTAATCCAGACTTTTGACTTGAGTTCTTGGTTGCCAGATAGTACATCAATACTCGGCCACTCTTCTCTTGTCTTTTCGTCGAGTGAAAAGAATTATTGGTGCGGGAGAGATAAACAAGACTCAACTATCAACCAGTTCCTTTTTACTCGATAAAAAAGTAACTGGGAGATCTTGCCCTACGCCTTAAACAGTTTGGGTCTCCTCTCGTTGAGCAAGTCTCCTCTTCTCCGAAGTGCGACGCAGACATATTCTGACCCAGACTGCCGCCATCCAAACAAAATTGACCGCTGTCACAAGCAGCCATAGTTTCAATTGCCCTAGGAACCGTTTTCCCCAATTCCAGTCTTCATCTCCATTCGCAGGTGCTAGGAGTATGCAGAGTGAGATTACCACACCCCAAGGAACGGAGGTAATGAGGCACGAAAAGAGCCATAGTAGTTCGCGTAGTCAATCATGGTTCAAATGGGGACCAGGAGAGAAGAATCCAAATTTATCAGGTATACAAAGACATTCTGACTGAAATCGATACGCTCGGTCGTACAGGGCAAGCAACCGAATCTGGAACGGGGTGAAGTCAGGCTGAAGAGTGATTATTCCGTCAAAAACATCATAATCCTCCGCCTTGGTGACCCTTCCCTCGAATTTAGTCCCATCAGGATAGACGAAGAAGACAGTCGCTGTGTTGATGTCGCGGGACCCGACGGCATCCATTGCGTCTTCTGTCAGTTTGAGATGCATTGTTTCGGTGATGTTGGCTTTGGACTCCAAACTTCTGCGTATGTTTCCAGGAGTGCTTGTGGTTTCAATGAAGTCTGTGTTGTGGTTTAGGGACTCCTTTGGTCATGATGAAAAAAGAAGAGAGAAGGCTGTGGGGACTGGCTCGAGGGAAGAAAGGACGCCTTGAAATAGCACAAGAATGATGGTTTGTTGAAAAGTTATTTTGCAAGCTTTGTGCTTCTATCAAGAGTTGATTGTGCTGAAGTTGTAGTGGCTTGATGTGTTAGATACCGAGAAAGCATGTTCTTTAGCTTTGCTACCTTGGTCCTTGATTGATCTCCTGGGAGATATCAATCTAAGGTTTATACCTAGAAAAGCATCTCAGGTGGGTTAAAGTAGGCCAGGGGTTTTAATTTCATTCTACCTGTAGAATAGGTTTAAGATACAGTTCTCTCAAGGTTGCTGTAGAAGCATCAGGAATACTTTGTGTGTTATTGAGAGATTTGAAGTCGTTGGTCACAGTGGCTTTATGCGATATCTATTGAGAAAGTGTTTTGTTCTCGCTTGAAACCTTGACCGGTCTCTACCTAGGGAGATTCATATTGACATGAGGTTCACACAAAAAGAAGAAATGAAGCATCGGAAATAATACTTCCATCTAGGTATGGTGTACTAGTAGTAATTGTTTAAAGTTAGTAGTTTTATTTGACCCGCATGTCCCGCACCCACTCGCTAGGTACCTTTAGCTTTTTTCCCTCTAATTCATAAGCAGACCTGACTCACCACCACAACACAACAGACTCGGTATCTCGATTGTGTCGAAATGGACTCGTTCTATATCACGCCAAACTCTTCACTGGCACAAACTTTGTTTGTTGCTAGTTCATTGATACTGCCCATAGTTCTCATCTTCATCCTCTCGCGTAAGATCAGCGATCGATATGTAGCCAAGTCTACACCACCTCTGCCAGCCACCGATGAGATTGTACGCCTGCGAGTGTACCCAGTGAAGTCATGCCGGGGCTTCGATGTGAAATCGACAGAACTTCTACGGACAGGTCTAGATCTGGATCGTAACTGGATGTTTGTCACCGTTGATAAACACGAATTCATCACCATCAGAGCGAACTCCAACATGACTCTCATCACGACAGCTTGGGATGCTGACACCGATACACTTACAATTGCGCTGAATGAACATAAAATTGAAATACCGGCCCATCCCAGCACGCAGTGGCTTGAGAAGAACACAGAACTGAATAAGGCAGGCATTTGGGGCGAGCAAACTGACGCTTGGGTATACTCAGACACCCTCACGAAGCCCATCTCCGAGTTCCTGAACATGGATGTCCGTCTGGTATACAAAGGACCTACGCCTCGAGTACTACGTGGTAGCGGAGCCCCTCAGCGTCTGGGTCGTACGGAATCCACCAAATTTGCTGACATGATGCCTGTGCTGGTAAGTCAAATGAGTTATCGATCAGCAGGCCTTGAACTTCTGCTAACGCGAGATACGCAAAAGGTTGCTTCTATGGCGAGCATGGCCGAGTTAAACGACCGTCTCGCTGATGCCGGGGAGGACAAGATCGAAATCGAGCGCTTCCGCCCAAATATCATCATCCGCGGCAGTGTGCCCTGGATCGAAGATGGATGGAAGACTCTCCAAATAGGAGAAGGTGAAAATCGCCTTGATCTCGACGTAGTTTGTCGCTGCCTGCGATGCCAGGTGCCCAATGTTCACCCTATCACGGCCGCCAAGCACCCACGCCAGCCTTGGAACCAGCTGATGAAGTACCGAAGAATTGACCCTGGACTCAAGTTCAAGCCAAGCTTTGGAATGCTTTGCGCACCAAGTGTCGAGGGTCACCTTGAAGTTGGGATGAAGTTCCAGGTTACTGCCATGACAAAGGAGCACTTCTTTATAAGCCCGATGAAATAAATTGAAATGGTCACATGGGAACATAATAGGAAACAGCTCTCAGTGCCAATTCTGGATTAACGAGAACGATGCATATCGCTTTGCTTGGTCGGTAAATATCTAGCGAGAAAAAGAACCTCTTGAAACCCCTTTCTTGACCTAGCACTAAAAACGAGATTGAAATAAACGCCGCAACTGCACCACTTCTTCAAAAGTTTTTGATATTAAGACCGTGGTCATAGTACACGACTTTCAATGTAGACTTGTATCACCCTTTCTCTTATAGTTAGTCGGCTGATTTGTCATAAGGGCAGCGTGATTGATCAAGACATGATCCTTATGGAGAGGAGTACCTTGTTGTTCTTGGCCTTATACCCATCTCTGTCATAGCTCCAAGTTCCTCAAAGTAATACCGCAATTCGACAAGCTGAGATAAGACACGACTAGGACTTGACCAATTTTAGTTCATTAAAGCTCTTTCAGGATCGTGAAGGTCGTCAGACTGCACTACCAAAAACTCAAGTGGAAATACAACCACAACCCAGTCTTCACCACTCAGTATTTAGCCGAGACACACCATCAGAAAAACACCGCCTCATATAGAACGCTAGTAGAATGCCTTGATAGAGGTGAGCTCGTTTAGCAATGACTGCAAGTCTTTAGTATATGAGGAATTTCAAAACCCTGACTAGAACGCCCGCTTTCTTGAAAGAATCATGCCTTGGTGTGGGTCAAACGGACAACAAACAAATTCATTTTTACGGGAAACCAAGCTTTTCTTTGAAGTAATCAGCTAGAGAAACGATTATGTTTTATCTTTGTTGGTTAGTGCCATGAATAGTGGCGAAGAATCGAGTACAGGTAACACCAAGCAACACACTGAGACAGAACAGATATCAATAGGAATATCTATGTTAATTCTCCAAACAAAGTGGCTTAAAGGCACGTTCAAGATGTGACGAGATAATCCAAAAAAGTACTTTTTCTTTGTTTCCTGATATCAGCGTGGCCCAGACTAGATGTCGTGCTATGGATGCCTGCACCACACCACAAGCACTGGGCGCCCTCTTTGGCCTCTCTCGATCACTCTTTGAGCAAGTCAACCTGATAGAGTCATGTTGTCGCCGAGCCTTCTAAATTAGAGTGATTAGGATATGGATGGCTCGGCTATTTCTAATTCCGTGCTAGTTGCCTTTGTCTTCGATACACGAACAGAGGCGAGAAGAGGGCAATGAAACACTTTCTAAACAGAAGAGCATGTGAAAAGCCCAAGCCCATAATTCATTTCGAATCACAAGGCTGTAGTCTGTAATTTGGGTGAGAAGGTTGACTTTGTGATTCATTGGCCGTGGTAAGGCGCTTCGCGGGGCAGTTTTTTTTTTTCAGTGGCACAACATACCTAAGCTTACCTACAGTTGCACAGCCGCCTCCGTTCTTTCAAGCATGCAATTAATGGTCTAGATTCTTAAATCTCTCACCATCCCCGACAACTTCAGCGCAATCGCATATCGGAAAATCAAAGATTAAACATAGAGATACATTCATCATGGGCGAAAATCTCGTCATCTATTACAATGACTCCATCGACTCGGACAATCTGGCTGCCGCAATGGCCTTGTGGAAGGCGACGTACCAGAGGCCAAACACTCGCTTGGTTTGGATTATAGAGCCTCGCCAGGTGGGCTTTGGACTATCTATGACAGCAGAACAAGTATCGAAGTGTAAGGACTTGATACAACAGCACTTTGAATCGCTTGGGAATCCCTTCAAGGTGCTTTTGGGTGGACTTATCAACCAGACGGATCTTGATAATATCAAAGCTCTCACAGAGGTTGATCGCCAGCTGGTAGCCTCCCCTTTTCAAATGCCCTATTATGAATTTCACTGACCCAAGTGCAGCTGCAAATGGCTGTAAAGCCGGATTACGATTCACGAGAACATGCCGCGCGTCATGGACGCCTTACAGCTTGGGACTTTGCTTCTTGTTTGGCCGAGTGGTCGAACAATGCCCCCAACGAAGTCTTCGTGGATTTTGAGAGCCTAGATGAGATTGAAAATCCTGTGAATCTCAACTTTCATCATCACGAAGAGCTTGTCAACCGGAGCGCAGACGAGCTGAAGGCATACGATAACATTATGAAGGAACCTCTTGCACAGCGATCACGGAGCCTACAAGACTGGTACGAAGGATGCGCCAAGAGGATCGAGCAAGAGGAATGCAATTCGAAGACTTCTGTGCAACCTCTTAACTTGAAAACTGTCTATAATGCAATCGAAACTGCAGCAAGTGTAGGTTTCTTTGGAGGTTCTTCTCTAAGGATCTTGCGGCAGTTTCTTGAGAATGGCGTAGCTGGTAAAGTCAAGTGCCATCTACAAGTGGTATGTATCAGTTTGTGGTAGTTCTTCCTATGGCGATCACTAACAATTACCAGGGTTCTTGCGACATGTCGGCGAATCTCTTTGCAAATCAGTTCAATATCGCTCTCAACAGAGAGGCTGCCAAAACAGTGCTTAATCGATCAACAGAGTTCTCAAAGTTTACCGTTGTCCCTTCACACACTGCACAAAGTATAAAATACTCAGCGTTGGGTCTGAAGAACGCCGGAGGTCATTGCTTAGAGAAGCGAATCTTGGGCTTTAACTGTCGTGAAGACCCTTTCAAGATCGTCACGAATGTTGTCTCGTTAGAAGGCCAATATTCCGACAAAGCATACGCGATGCCGGACTTGACCGCATTCCTATGCGCGCTCATTCCTGACTATATGGGATCAAAGTTAGGATTCATAGAAGTTGATGAGAAGGATTCCAATGGCGCGTTGCTTTTTAGGCACTCTGATAAGGGAATCCAAATGTACGATTTGAGCGGGAGCAAGACATTAACGGAGTCTGAGGTTACGAGAGTGTTTGAGGCAATAGCAAGAGGTGAAGTGCTACTGGATCAGACTTGATACCCAACGGCGTCCTGGGAGGCAATAGATAATTCTTTTCTGATATCGTTTGATCTTTCACGCACGTTACGTTTATGACAGGGTTGGACGTTTCTGAAGTTCGACGAATGCTATCATGACTTTTTAGAAACAAGTAATGGAATTTAGAAACTTTATGTATCGTGATTGATTATGACCAAGGTGAGACTATGTAATGTTTTATGCTATATTGTATTTGCAACAGGATATCCATGGATGTTGTTCTAGGCCACACTAGTCTGGCCTGGTCATATCGCCAATCAGCCACAAGACCCTTCAATGTGGCGCTGTCAGCCTTGCCAGCTCCTCCCCTCCTCAACTTAACTTATCCAACAAACCTTCAACAGCCTTGGGCTGTCGCAGGCGTTCCTTTACCAATCTCAAATCCTCAATCACAGGACCTCTATATACTGTATATACATCATGTCCGCCAATTATTGGCAGTCGACGCAATGTCGCTTCTGGAACTTTACCAAGGAACAGCTCGCGACAATGCGACAGAAGCTTGAGGAAGACAATGCAGAACTCGTGCGCATGTTTCCACTTCCACAGCAGCGACACTTGAACATATACTTTAATCAACGTGGGTTACATTGTTCACTTTATCAGACCTGACGGCATGGCTGACTTGAACAAACAGAGCTGATAAGGCTGGCAAAGCGGCTGACGATTCGACAACAATCCATGGCCACGGCGCAGGTCTACATGAAGCGATTCTACTCGAAAGTCGAAATCCGCCGAACGAATCCGTACCTCGTGATAGCGACCGCGATATACCTCGCGTGCAAAATAGAGGAGTCGCCCCAGCATATCCGACTTATCGTTACCGAGGCGCGACAGATGTGGGGAGATCTCGTCGCTATCGATACATCCAAACTGGGAGAGTGCGAGTTCTTTATGATAAGTGAAATGCGATCGCAGCTCATTGTATACCAACCATATCGAACAATCACGGCACTGAGAAGCGAACTCGGATTGCAGGAGGATGAGGTGCAGCTTGCCCGGTCAGTGATTAACGATCACTTCATGACGGACCTTCCGCTGCTATATCCTCCACATATCATCGCAATGGTAGCCATGCTGCTAGCTTTGGTTCTTAGACCGAACAATTCTGGCCCTGGACAGAACGCCTCAGGAGCAGCGGCAGCTGCAGGACTGGCAGCAGCTCAGCAGGCGTTGATGCGAGCGCAAGGCCAGCAAGCGTCAGGGGGAACTGCAGATGCCGCAACTGCTGAGCCAAAGGAGAGACAACAGCAAGCTCGAGTGTCCAGGGTGCAGAAGTTCGCCAAGTGGCTGGTTGACAGTAATGTGGACATTGCATCAATGGTGGATGCCACTCAGGAAATAATCTCGTTTTACGAGTGTTACGAGCATTATAATGACAAGCTCACACGGGAACAGATCAACAGATTTGTCAAGGCACGAGGGTTGGATAAGTGATATTGATATTAGGGATATGAGAAACGAGATATGAAGCACTTATGGAACAAGCATGCATAGTCTTGGCAGGCGTTTATCGGAGTTTGAACTTTCGATTAGAGATCGTATCTGCATATCTACCTTTGTGTGCCGGGGTTGTAGAGCTGAGTAGGTATATTGGTTTCACTCTACAGCAATGATAAAAGAAGATAGAACAAAATAGTCACTATTTCTAGGACTTTTTCTAGTTAACGCAGACTGAGCCAGTAATTTCGTCTTTAATTTAAACAAGCTAATGTTAAGCTTGATTACACCCTGAAAATAGGCTCTACGTTTCCCCTGCGTACGGATATTGGATCCTAAAAATCCCAAGCTGGAATTACCCAGGTACAAGCACTTATTTCAACTCTCATGATAAAATTTGCTTGGCACGTATGCTGTCTGTTGGTGTCTGTTAAGCCAATAAAGCGGTATTATCGGACAAGGAATCTCTGACCAAGAAGTTTTTTTTTTTTTGACAGGTCCGCAGTGCCCTGAAACTAAACCTTCAATTGACCAAAGAATTCCACCTCGCTAGTTCCAGGATGTCAATATCTGCATTCATTCTAGAAGAAATTGATTCAAATATGAGGAGCCCTTCAATTTTATGCCGAGACAGAGCGAGGATGCTAGCAACTAGAGACAGCAAGAGAATAGCTCAGCGGATCCTTCCGAGGCACTAAGCATAATACAGTGCCTCTGATTGATCGCCAGAGCAGGCCCAGCAGTGCCCGACAGCGCCCAGGGCGGCTTCCAATAGCCGGCGGGGGGCTTCAACTATCTCTAGCTCCACTGGAGTAACTCTGGTGTATTTTTCTGAGCAAGAGCAGCAGAGCGTTAACCCTGTTTGGGGGTTCCCTCCCCAGCTACCAACGTCACAGCTCGCTCGCCAATTGGCATTTCAACACCAGCTTTTTCTTCCTGACCTCCGATCTCCTGTTCAGCCATGACCTTCCGGTAACCCGATAGTATATCCCTCGACGTCGCCGCGGATCGATAAGCCTTATCTTACAAACCCATAAAGACGACGCTCCCCTGCAGCGCAGGGCTTTTCGCGCCCGTTGCGCCCGCCGAACCTGAAGTCTTGCCGGATCGAGATATGCCACCAGCGCATCCATAGCTATCGTCATGAGCGTGACCAGCATTGTTGAGGGAGTCGAGGAGGGGCTTAGGGAGCCACAAAACTCTCGCGATGCGAGAGTCGAAGAGCTTTGGGCGAGCCTCGAGCCTGATCATACAGGTGAACTTGACCTTAAGGGTTTGAAGAAGGGGCTTAGGAGGATTGATCATCGTAAGCAAGGGTTCTTGTTGGCTCGCTCGCGCGCGATAGATTTACTGATGAGCGACTGCAGCCATGAAGAACGCCGACGAGATGTTAAAACGCATAATGGAAGAGGTGGATAAGAACAACGATGGCAAGATTCAATACAACGGTACGCATATCTGTCTACCTTGACCGTCGAGCATTCTCCGACCCTCCGATACTGCCTCGGTTCCTGCGACCGCGACCATGAAAGCTTACTTTTTGCTTCTTTGCACCATTTAGAGTTCCGGAAATTTGTCGAGAATGCAGAGCGCCAGCTTTTTGCCCTTTTCAGATCAATTGATAAAGACGGAAATGGGAAGCTGGACAAGCTCGAGCTTCAAACAGCTTTCAAGAGCGCCGGACTCACACTATCGAACCGCCGGCTCAGTGAGTTCTTTGACGATATGGATTTCAACAACGATGGTTATGTCACTTTTGACGAATGGCGGTTAGTCTTTTACTTCAACTTTACTTTGAATGCTCCTTTTCTTGCTTTAACAACCCCACTGGGCGTCAGTCGCATTCCATCAGATGCCTGGTGCTCATGACTGACCCTCAGTCATTTTGGCGGGGATAACCCTCATAACGTCATGTGCCAAGCCCAAACTCAACCACATGGCAATGCATTTGCGACCACTTTTTGTTGCTGATTAACGATCTTGGAACCCTGTGAATGGATCAGGGGCTTGCGGCTGATCATGAACTTATAGAAACTTCCTCCTATTTATGCCCCCCCACGATCACGATTCTCAACTTCATGCCGTCCTTGACTTTTACTACTCGGTGGTCAGCGTAACCCCTGAAGGAGACACGCTTGTGAGTGAGGAAACATTAGAGGGTTTAGGTACGGACGGCTTCCGCTCTCTTTTCATCACCCTTTTTGGCTCTCTTCTTCGAGTAGCTTTCCCCTTCGAGTACCCAAAACCCATACAAGACCGCCGGACATCGACTTCCGCCAGTAAACTCAACACCTCAAATCCGAATGAATCCTCGAACACGACCGAAAACATGGCTACCGCAGCCGCGGTTTCATATCCCGACTACGATGACCCAGCTACCGAGATATCGCAGGAAGTCGAATCGCTTACACAAGACCTGGACGATGGCACCCATGAACACACCACTGGAGCTTCAACAGCAGTGCACAAGAAGTTTAGACTAACACAATTTGTACCTGATCCAGGCTACTTTCTAGCAGGTGCCATCGCCGGTGGAGTGTCGCGTACGGCTACTGCGCCTCTCGATCGGTTGAAGGTCTATCTGCTTGTCAACACTTCCAGTCGAGCCGAGACGGCGGGCGCGGCGCTTATGCAGGGTCGTCCTATCGCCGCTCTACAGAATGCAGCAAAACCATTTGGCGATGCGGTCCGAGATCTCGTTCGATCAGGAGGTGTTCGGAGTCTCTTTGCAGGTAAGACTTGTGCACCATGACCCTCTGTGGCGCAAACTGACATTAACAACATCAGGAAATGGTCTCAATGTCGTAAAAATTATGCCGGAAACAGCCATAAAATTTGGCTCATATGAAGCGGCCAAGCGAGCACTTGCCAATTTTGAAGGACACGGAGATCCAAAGCAGCTCAGCTCGTGGTCAAAATTTGCCTCGGGCGGTCTTGCTGGCATGATTGCACAGTATGATTGATTCAAAGCTATCGACATCCCAAGCTAACAGCTAGCAGGGCTTCTGTTTACCCTTTAGACACCCTCAAATTTCGCCTGCAATGTGAGACCGTTAAAGATGGTCTCAAGGGCGCTGCTCTCGTTCGCCAAACTGCCGTCAAGATGTACGGAGACGGTGGCTTGCGTGCATGCTACCGAGGTTTGACCATGGGCCTGATCGGAATGTTTCCCTATAGCGCCATTGATATGGGCACCTTCGAAGTACTAAAAAAGTCTTATAAGAATTACTACGCCCGACGAGACAATGTGCACGAGGACGACATCGAAGTAGGAAACATCGCTACAGGAATAATTGGCGCTTCATCTGGAGCCTTTGGAGCTAGTGTGGTGTACCCCTTAAACGTGGTACGAACACGACTTCAGACCCAGGGCACAGCCATGCATCCGGCGACATACACTGGTATCTGGGACGTGACGAAAAAGACTATTCAACGTGAGGGCTACCGAGGCTTGTACAAGGGCCTGACACCCAACCTTCTCAAGGTCGCACCCGCTTTGAGTATCACTTGGATGGTGTATGAGAATTCCAAGAGAATCCTTGGATTGAGCTAGCTGGTCGTTATGGTCAGGCTCGAGACGAAAGAAAGAGACGAAAGACATGAGACTGAGGAGTTGTTCCCAGTTCTCACAACCAACATTTACTATTTACTATACACACGCACGCAAATTTCACATCAACATTCAGGAAAGCGGGAATCTTAGCGATTGGATGGCATTGCGTTACGACGAGGGGCAATTTCATGGCGTTGAAAGGATTGATATATCAGATGAAAGTGGTCGACAGCCATTATCGATGGACATGACGATGCTTCGAATAACATTATACTACACTGCACTGCACTGCATGTTTCTCATTTTTTGAAGGTGCAGAAGCGATGGCTAGAACTATTTGAACATGATTTGTTCAAAGATAAGATAAAAAAAAGAGAGTATGAAAAGAGACGAAGCAATCTGGTAAACACCCAGGCAGTTCCCTGTGACATGTTGAACTTGGTTAGATTACAAGGGTCGGGGATAACTGTATTGGCATTATTTCCATCGCGGGGTAGCCAGTAGACTACCGGTGCAATGGGTTACTGTAAGAGAGCGAGTGTCAGGTCTTTCATTCATTTGTGTTAGACATTGGCAGATAAACGGATGTGCTATGTCTTCGGCTCTTCGCCGACGACATTGACTCAATCAGTTTGTCGATAAACTGCAAGAGGAAGTTCGCATAAACGAGACTTGACCATGAAAAGCGCAGATCATACCAGGATACCCCAACCAAGAAGGTCTTGTTATCAATCAGCCCTATCAAGTCCATTCCTGAGCATCACATCAAACGTCATTTCTTGCTTGCATCTCTGCAACTCGTGGCAGAGTTGTCGTCAGCAGCATCGCGTGCGACAGAGCTTACGCAGCAGCAATTGAGCTTGCACAGGGAGGGCAATTGGCAGGGATTGGGAGAGAAAAGAAGGTGTTGCGGGGTTTCGAGATGGTTGGGGAACTTTTGTTTAAAGGATCCTTGCTCTTGGATGGTGTAGATAAGAGGAAGAGAAGAGAAGAGAGAGAAGAGCAGAGACTATGTGCAATTAATTGGTAGTGAATAAGAATTCTAAGATGTAGAAATTTCCTGATACTGTATAATATATGATATATCAAGGAGAATGAATTCACTACAGTAACGTATTCATGGATTCATGGATTGATAAATCGGACATTTTGCTGTATTACTCCGCTTCATATGCATCTCAGTGATAGACCGTCAAACTCACCCCCAAACAGGCCATAGCGTGATCGATCAACGCCGTAGTTATTGCAGAATACCTACAGTACATGCTCATAAGGCAACGTAACCGAACGTAGGCAGTCTACGTACAGCTATAGATGCATGCTTACTCCCCTCTTTTGCACTTCTCTTTTCTTCCGTGCCGCATCTCAACTTTCGACTTTTCTCACGACTTGGTCTCTCTCAGGTCTCTGGAGAAGAAAGTTGTCTTACAGCTAACTTGACTATTTGGTGAATCGTATATGTTCTATTTCGGAATAGAGCCACGTACGCATTACCTTGTACAAGGGGAATACTTTATCTACTTGTTCTAAACCCTACGTCTTATACGCACAGAAATGCCTGCTCCTTACTCTGACAATCTCTATTCCGCCGACTCTGACGACGAACACGATCAAGGACAACCCGATGCCCTCTCACCAACTGACGGTTACTTCCACGCGTCGTCCGAGTCGTCGTCATCTCGTTCTCCTCATGTCCCAAACGTGCTTGTCGAGGACCCTTCGCAGTTGAGTCGCGATGCTAAAGTCCAAGAAGCTGAGAGGGAGAGGAGGTTATTAAATAATGGAGGTTCTGCTGGCACTGCCTCTTTACACCAAGAGCTGGAAAGTGCAGGAGGTTCTGAGAATCCAATCGCCGCAACTCCTCAGCCTGAATTACAGTCACAGTCACAGTCTTATCTCCAAAGAATATCAACGTTTGCTCATCCTGTTGATGCCCCGCCTGCTTATTCACCTTCGCCTACTTCACCAACAACAGTCAACAACTATCAGACCTTCACTTCCACTGCTACCATGGGTCGACCAGAAGAGACTCAGCCTTTGATCACTCATTCTCATGCGCCTCAGTCTATGAGCAACCCGCCGGCCAACCCAAGTCAAGACGACCAGCCTTCACGCTGGCAAAAGTTCAAAGACTTCGTCGCCAGACTCAACATTCGAAGAAGAATCAAGACCTTCCTGGCTTCGCTCTTGATCTTTACTGTCGTGTTTATGATCTTCAGTAGCTTTACCATGTCGTCAAGCCACGGAGTTAGTACTCCTGTCAACCCTTCCTCACGTATACGAGTTTGCTAACTTTTTTACAGTCACACACATCCCCAGTCCGAGATAATGATCCCGTCGCTCCACCTTCTAGCGACCGTGATGAACTTGTGTGGCGTCCTTCCAAATCATGTCTTAAAGACCCGATTCCCTTGTCAAAGGAGGTCCACGAGCTAGATATTCAGTCATCCCGCAACCTGAGCATCATTCAGACCGTCAAGGATACTCTTGCCAACAGGGGATGGACTACTCACATCTCTGGTGAAGTTCTTCTTCGTCCAGCAGAAAACTCATCGCCGGCCAGGATTGAAGTCGAGTATATCTCCAACACGGAAGAGCTTTCCGTTGAGTTGAGCATGAATAAGACATCGCAACTCGTCGAGTTGATTGTGCCGCGAACGATTGACTGGAAGTTCACTGACAAGGCTCCTTGTATCCAAATCCGAGCTACTATTTGGGCGCCTCGCGCGGCGATTATCAACGCTCTTACCATCAGTACTGTGCAGCTTGATGTCAATATCGCAAAGGGCTTCGTGCTTGGAGCTTTGGACGGGGTCAATATCCGAACTGTCAGTGGCGATATCAATGCGCCTGCTATCGATGCAAGCAGCACAAACAAGGACCTTGTTCCATACACCATTTCTTCTCGTGAAATCCGTGTCCATACGACCAGTGGGCAAGTCAAGGGATGGTATCCTCTCTACGATCTTCTCGATATCGGAACTGTCTCAGGCGACATCACGACCAACATCGGACCCAAGCCCGCCAACCCGCAGTACGTTCGACCAGCCACATTCCGAGTGCGGTCAGCTTCTGGAACCATCAAGGTCGACGAGCCTATCGACAAAGCTCAGAAAGCTTCCCGCCCTGATCGCGAGTTCCCACCGCGCGACTACACAGTAGACATTATTACGGCTTCAGGAGATATCAAAGCCGACGTAGCTGCCAGTTCATCTGCATCCTTCAAATCCCAATCAGGTGATCTGAATCTTCGTGTTTGGCCTGTGCTGGATTCGAGTTTGTTGATAGCCGCCGCGGGCAAGCCATACCTCGAGACGGACACGAAGAGTGGGACTACCCAAGTCAACCTCCTCGAACCTCTGTGGACAAGCCTTGCTACCATCGGCGGAGCGATTCCTCCATTCGAGCCCTATGACCCAAAAACTGGTCATGAACCATACATTGTTCTTAGAGAAGACTCTGACGTTGCTGAAGTCAAAGTCAGCAAACCAGCTTTCTCGGTCCTGCAGTCGAAGCACAAGTCGATCAGTGGGAGCATCAACCTCTCCTATCCCGCATCGTGGGAGGGCGTTCTCTTCGCGCAGTCCGCCTCGGGCTCGCAAAAGTTCCAGGGTAAGGGATTGCAGATTGAAAAAGAGGGAGGAACATTTATGAAGATCATCAGGGGACGAAAAGGAACGGGTTGGTCTTCCCTTGAGGTCAACAGTGTATCTGGAGACCAGGTGGCTGTGATTGGAGAGAGAGACCATTAAGTGATGAATGCAAACGAGGAAAACGATATGAGGCAACAAGATTTGGTGGTCTAGGGCCGGGCTTAAACTTGCACAAGGTAAACAAAATTTTTCGTCCCTTGCAATCTCAGCAGTCAGGTTTTCTAAATGTCCTGATGGAGGTGTTAAGGAGTTTGTGACTTTTGAGAGGATCTACTGGGACAGGGTCATTCGTTTGGGATCAGGATACCACATCATTCGCTGAACGTAATACATACCACGGCAACACGCGCAATGCTGATAAATGGGGTATAAATTGCGCCTGTCTTTACCATAATTCACCACAACATACCAAGCAACATAATAAATCATCGTTGCGGTCCAAACTTGCCCATCAATCGTAGTCTCCTTTTATGTGCTGGTCCGAACAGCGGTCGGTGTTTTACCAAATTTCTCTCCTTTCCACTTCGAGGCTGATGCCCTAACAATGTGACATCGACTTTCTTATATCTCACATCATACTTGACCCATCGCTCAAGGCCAGGTATATGGATTCCCAGTGTCGGAAGCGCAAGTAGTGTCAGTCGTGTTGTCATATGTAACGAGTACGGCTCCCACCGTCTTTCAACCCCGTAGATAGCTGGAAGCGCATAGCGAATCTTTCCAGGAGCGTAGTGCTTGAGCAGCTTCTCCAAGCGGGCTCTTCGCAACGGAGGCAGAGCTTTGCGGAATGCTTTAGCATGCTCTGGACGGTATGGAGAAACCTGCCACATCGGCCATCTATTAGGGCCAAGGCGCACCCAGAAGCGGCCATCGAACATCTTGGATCTTGGCCATCCATTGTGGCTGAATGGTGGCATGGTTTCATCCGGATCTTCGCTGCTGAAGTCAGGAGGACTAGGTAACTTTTCCTTGGGCCAGAAAAGCTTTGCGGCAGGGAGAGTTTGAGTTGACGTGTAGGGTGCTCTAGAAAGCAACCATTTAAGGCATTTCCCGTCCACAATCGGATCAAAGTATACGCCAGCTGTGGTGAAAGCTTTGGGGGTGGAGCCATTTTTGGATGACATACCAGGAACGAGCTTGTTGACAACGTTTTCGAGGTTGGCGAGAGGCGGTAAGTGATATTCAGGGGTGATGAAATCAATCAGCTTCCGAACTGCAATGTTCATGATTGTCCTTTGATGTTCCTTGCGCAACTCACTCTCCTTCTCGGACGAACGCCCTTTTCGTCGTTTGTTAGGCGTGCGAAATGTTGGGAACTGGACCAACAACGTTCCAGCATTGGGGTCGAAGTCCTTGATAACACCTTCACGGACTAGGTACCGTTTTGCCTCCGCTTCTTCCAACTTGGTTCTGTGTTTACACCTCTCAGCTAAAGACAGAATAGCAGGCTTCTGCAAAGCCTTTGGCAAGTCGTGGTTTCGAACCAGATACCTGACAGCGTTTCGGGTCGTCAACGTGGGGTCTTTGTTGGTCTCATCTTCCACCCAAGCGACATTATTTGCCTCGCACGTCGCAATAAGCCTATCCTTGTCGAATTCAAGAAGCGGTCGATATATCATGACGCCTCCATCTTCGACTTCCAGGGGTTTGAGGTAGGGGACATGATCGAAAGCCTCGCGCGATGATGGGTAGGAATCAACCAGGTCTCGTGGAAAGTCGGCCACGAGGGGGGAAGGCTCGAGTCTCAACTCGTCGCGGAAATCGCGCCTTAGTCGCTTCATCTCACGCTGGGCCGGTCGAAAGCTGAGTGCTGGGCTCGGCCTAAGCTGATCGTCGAGAAGACCGCTCTTATAAACACCATGCAGGTCGTAGCATTCTGGTATTGAATTCGCTTCTCTTATTCCTTGGAGACCCCGGTAGCCATGCCCACCAAGCAATCGCATAAGTACTGTCTCGTATTGGTCGTCCCGGTGGTGCGCAAAGAAAAGACTACTAGCCCCCATAAAAGTACAAATGCGACCAAGTGTACGATATCGGTAGGTGCGCGCAAGGCCCTCAACATTTGGAAGTTTACGAGGATCTAGACCATCACGTTTTTCATCTCTCCAAGGGAGAGGTGCAACACTGGCTTTAATATTGAGCCTGTGCAGTTCTTTGACAACTGATGCCGCTTCTGCATCACTTCCATCACGAAGTTTGTGATCAACGACAACAGCCAAGGCGCCGTGGACGGGATTGTCTGCGACTTTGGAGCCTCGGTATGTACGGACAAATTTAGACATGAGGAATGCCAGAGCCATTGAATCTACGCCTCCGCTGATTGCCATAACTGATGCATGTCAATATCTTGAGAGGCAAAAAGATGTTGGGATAGCTTACCTATCCGCTGTGGCCTGGCAAAGCGGGCAGTTGGAAACCGCGGACGACATACTGCATCAACGGCATCTTTGAACTCGGATGAAGAAATAGGCCGAGGGGCTTGATGAAAGACACGAGCTGCCGTGTTCATCCCATTATATTTCCAGCTTGAGCCTGGAGCGCAATCACTGATGATAAGGCAGTCAAAGGGAATGGGAGAGTGCAAGTAAAAAGTGGTGATGTAGGGATTCAAGTAAAGCTCTGGTGGGTCTCGAATTCTGGCAAGTTGGTGGGGCCGCTACGCTGCTCCTTCCCGCCTGCCATGGGTTAAAATCACGACTTGAGACCATGTTTTGTCATTCAAGACATTACGAATAAATGGAAGGAGGAGAAAAGTCGAATATGAAACAAGCAAACTCCTTTGGGAGGGATTTAACCCAAGAGGAGTATTTCAGTTGCCAAGACATAGCATAAACCAACCCGTGTTGATTCAATCAATGATCGTCAAGAATCACAAGCTTCTAGAAACACGGTTGTCCAGAGCACAACGGTCAAGTTAGTGGAGGCGGTAACCTTGTACTACGGGCGTTTAGTTGGTGGACCAACTGTATACTGTACTGTAATCATCGGTGGACAGTTGTAACAGATAAAGTTGACTAGCCTTTGTTTTACTTTACCATAGTCTTGGTAAGTAAATAATAGGTAAACAACAATCATCATATTCATCCCAAGTCTCTAATATCCCCAGAGTTCACGGCGAACACAGACCAGGAAAAACACTCGCTAACCAACTCATGCGGGTAATAACAACCCCTGTCAAAGTCTCAAATGATTCGCCTCCAAGGCATAAAATGGTTACCCCCCAGTAGAAAGCAGAAACAGCCTTGGAGTGGATATACGGATACTTGGTTTTGAATCATGGAGCTTTGCCTTGAATCTCTGGCTGCAGCAACCCTCTCTTCTCTTGTTGTCCTCGTGCCACCATCACAGGTCATCCTTGCTACAGTACCTACTACCTAAGGTAAGGTAGTGTGAGTGGCAGCTTAGGTACTCTCACAGTACTAGTAGTATTGTTTATGTTTATATCCAGATCCATCCATCGTTACACTGTCAACTTTATTCTCTCCCCCATCTCAATTCTTTACTTTTGTCGCGTCAAGTTGTCGAGTCAAGGTCTCTCTTGTCGCTCCGCAACAAACCAAAACATCCCATCTCATGTGATTCAAATTACATTACCTCCACTACTTTACCTCTAGTTTCATCGTCCATTCTTCCCCAGCCTCTTCCTGTCTCGTTTAGCTCTTTCAATCTATTTCACTCCGCCACAACCGCCTCCTTCTGAGCCGCATTCTAACTCTAACCCCCCCTGCGACTGCGCGGCAGTTGAATCATCACCATATTATTTAAAAAAATATTAATATCACAAAAGCCCTCATGGTGTCCACGCTGGAGCCTCCAACCGCCTCCTCCGTCTCCCGTCGCGGCCCCTCGTCGGTTGTCTCTCGCCAATCTCAATCCCACTCGCGATCGAAACGCTACAATCGCTCTCATACGGGCGGCAGCACCAATACCACTCATGCTCTCCAGAATGACTTCCCCGTCTTTAGTACCGGCGATGTCGAGATCATAGTCCGCGCACGCGATTCGCCCTCCGATGCCGCTCCTGTGCAGAACCGATACCTGCTTCATCGTCATACCCTTACGCGATCTAGCGGCTTTTTTGAAACGAGCACATCGAACCAGTGGTCTCGTACTCGCGCACTGCCAGCCGGTAATGAACTTTCCCGCATCGGCGAGGATGGAGAACTCGATCCCGTTACCGGAAGCGACGTCAGTTCCAGGTCGCAAAGAGGAAGCGTTCACCCACCGAGGAAGAGATGGCGGTACGAATTAGATCCACGATCTGGTCCCAATGATATTCCTATGCTGGTTCAGCGAGACGAATCGTCGCGAGATAGCACACAGTCTTTGTTCGGCCCCTCGTCAGCTCCACCTACAGTCAGCTCCAGAGACTCACGATCTTCGAGCCGTTCCAAGCACTCGCACTCGCATTCGCGATCGCTGTCCAATTCATCGACTTCTAGCGGTTTCTTCCGCTCTGTTGCCAATCTCAGTCTCTCCTCCAACCACAGCCACCCACCTGCTGGCCCGGAGCTATCGCAAGCTGACGAGGACCTTTTGCGCGACTACGACAACCTCTTCCGCATCTTTTACAACTACCCGCCCGTCCTCGATGGTGTCAATGTCGCAGACGCCTATGTCCAATGCAAGAGCTTGCTCAACCTCGCCGACCAATATGATGCCCTTGCTGTGGTGGGACCTCGAGTTGATCACCACATGCTGCAGTTCCAGTCACGGCTCTGGAAGCAAATCGCCAAATATCCGATTTCGTATCTGCGCCTCGGGTATCTAGCTCGCAGCCGGGTCATCTTTCAGGAAGCCCTGATTCACGTCGTTGGGCAGTGGCCGGCCGGTGAGCGCAGTCTGCGTGCAGCCCTGCCCGATATTGTCTTGGACATCATTGAGGATAAGGTGGATGAACTTGAGGAAACCGTCGGTCGCATCGAAGGACGCCTCTTCCGCCTTGGGCTCACCAACAGCCGTGGTGAACGTGTCGGCCCAAGCAACAATTACCTCGACTGGCTGTCCATAAGCTTGTTCCGCCAATGGCTGGCCGACAACACCTCTCCGCAGCCGCCTCCCGATCAGCGACGCAGGATATCCTCTCGTGATGGAGGCCGCAGCGTCGCCGCCTTACCCCCCGCCTCCCCGCCGTTGAATTCTGTCGGTCGCGCATATCGTCAAATCGGATCCAACAATCCCGCCTCGTTTCTCGGCCACGACGACTGCAAGCGATTCCTTAAGCTTACTCCGGAGCTCTACAGCCGGGAGAACCTCCGGAGGTTTGAGAAGCGGCTCGACGAGCTTAAGACAATGGCCCGAGAAATCGTACGACCCCTCATGGGCAGCAACCTCGAGCTCGACATGGGCGATACTTCACGCACACCGGACAGCATCACCTACCTCACCTGCACCACAGTTGGGAACCGAGACTTGCCTTGGGTAATGGATGACCAGAATACGGTTGGACTTGTCGCCAACTGATGGATTGATGTGATATGATGTGTGCAGTACGATACGGCATGGTACTGTACAGGAGCTGGTGGTTGCGTCGATGCAATGCAACGATTCTTATGACCTGATGTTGATGTCTCTTTCTTCACCTTTCTTTTTTGGATTCACTTCATTTCATTTTGCGGATACCCCATGCTTGGACATACTGTTGAAATTCCTTTGTGTTTGTCTTGTATAATCCCTGCGGCCTGGAACGCTGTTACTCAACGAGATTATATACTTTATATAGATACAGGACAACCAAAGCAGATGCTGGTTGGACTATGGCCAGTCGATACGACACAGATGGAGCTGAGCTCTGTGATGGAAAGGATCGTATTGCTTACGATGAAATATATAGAAATTGGTACTAATTTATGACATTATTCCACATTGACTTTCTATCTTCACTAGAGTTTATCAAGCTTGCATTGAGGGACCATGACCAACAAGGTACCATCGAGGGTGCCTGCATCTGCCGTCTCTCTATCTGGGCATCGCTTGGGCACAAACACATGAAAGACAAGTCTAGCTTTGACTACTGTCGTTCGGGTCAAGCCGTTTCAACGGTTTCCGCGTGGGGGTTCAAAGCTTGAGTGAACTTGGTACAAGTCCAGTCAATCAATGATGGTTGATCCCGGATCAATATTTGTAAATGTGTAGGGGCAAGGTAAAAGCGTATCTTGCTCCAAGCCCACAGCTATAGTAAGCATTCAAGGTCAAAGCGGCTGAGGGAATTGCCAAAAGGTCAAAAAAAGAGGTTGTTCGACAACGACAGGATTCGAACCTGCGAGGCCGAAGCCAATAGATATCCAATCGTGATGATTCAAGTCTATCTCCTTAACCACTCGGACACGTTGTCTGATCGTTTTTGTTGAAGGTCGTGATTGATTCTGCGTACATATACTTTATGCTAATTGCCCAAGTCTAGAGGGTTATGGCTTGCTTATGAAGCATTTGATAGAAGACACCTGCAGTATTTTAGGTATTTACATGTAAGCAAAATTCTAGTGCTTGAAATGAATCCTTATGATATTCCAACTACTCAGATAATTCAACTGAGCTTTTCGTTCAACGACTTCCAATCCTCTGCTATCGTGCGATAATTTTGGCAACTAGAATGGTATTTAGAACGGCTGTCTGGTGGTGAGTATTCAGAACAGGTAGCTTCCGGACCATTTATCTAAAATCGCCTAGTCATATCATTGTAACCATAAGCGATAGTTCATCACCAGTTCTATGGTCACGAGAAAATATCTTATTCTGTCACATTGTTGTTGGTTTCTGAGGTTATATCCGAGCGTGAGTGTGTGTGTAAGCCGTGAATGAGGCCAAGTTCACGCTTGGCATACCTACCCTACGGACAAGAACTAGAACTTACAAACATAACACAAAACGATATACGGTCGAATAATATTATAAGAAGAGGAAATAAAAGAATCCATTTCATCTGCCTCTGCTTCATAGTAACTTGATTGCCTAAAAAAGGTCCTTTCTATCGATTTATCCAAATTGTCGTATCCCTAATCCAATCACGTTGTTGAAGAGCATCGCCACAACAATGCACGCATGGTCACTGCCTAGTCAACGTTACTCAGGGGCTCATGGCTATAAAATGATTCATATGACTAATTTTATCTTTCATCTTGAGTTGGTAATGGGAGCTTTCATTTAAATATCTGTTCTCTGCCTGTTTGAGAGGAGTTCCTTCTGTTTTCAACAGCAACTTGCTCCGCTGCGACTATTCTATTACATGTACGCATTGAAGAGGAGCATATTTCACCCCCATCGTTTCCTAGCTGATATGATTCAGCATATCGACATCTTACGCACAAATCCCTCCGATGGGTGATGAGAATCTTCATCTGTGATATATCTGCGACGAACGATGACGAGTTGACGAACCTCGATGCCGCGATCGACTTGATTCTATTTGATCTTGCAATGGTCTTCCCTCAGGCCTCCAGCCAGCGGGATGCAGACCCGACAGTTGAGGAGCCTCGTGCTGCATGGTTTCTCTTTGGAACGTCTCCTCGTCGATGAGACCATAGTTATATACATGGTCGAGGAAGAAGAAATCAGGACGCATCTGTCTTCCTGTTACGCCCTTGCGGAAATGTTTGGCGATATGGTGCATTCGCTCGCGGTAGCAGGCTTCAGGGCCGGCTCGGCTTTTCGAAGAAGCCTTGAACTTTCGATCACAGAACCAGCACACACATACTGCAGGGAAGGCGCTACCGAGATGAAAGTTCACATTATGCTCAATCCATCCAGCTTCATCATTGGGGTCAAAGACTGCATTGCATCCCGTGTACTGTGCGAACTCGCATACAAGGGGTGAAGAAGGCACCGATACATGCTGGTACGGGATGGAAGCAGGAGGAGACTCAATATGAGTTGAGGATGTTTGAGCGGTTGGCATGTCGAAACAAGACGACATGCAAGTATCACTGCTGGCATTCGACATGCTGACACTTTGGGTGGGAGTAGGAAGGCCGTTTGTGACTTCATCCGAGAACACCAGGCTTGCAGCATAATAGTCTGGTGTAGGAGTGAAAGCATGCTGTGATGGTTGTGGCCCTCTTCTCGCATAGTGTTGGCTTATGAAGCCGTTTATATCAGCGGCGAGTTCTGGCATTTTGATGTGATGCAGAGAAGAAGCAATGGGTAAAAGATATATCTCCACAAAGTCGAGGATCAAGTTGTGGGTATATCGAATCGACAATGAGTCGACAATGAGTCAACAATCTCTGAGAGATGACTGAAGGCAGATACTTGAGCCGACCGCAAAGAGTCAAGATTTGAACAAGAGTTCCGAGTAAACGAAACAGAAGAGGGAATACGATGAGTGCTTTGGGATATCAAGACACAGAACAAAGTGAAGAGTAACGATCAAAGAGAGGGAAATACTCACTTCTTATCCTTATACCAACCATGTCAACGTCGAGCGTCAGCACCAGCACCCTCTCAATGACGACCCGTCCGTATTGGCAGCATCGTCTCTACATCACGAAGCCTCTCATTCGTCACCAGTCTCCCAAACCACTACCACAAACGCCATGAACGATAGCACACCAAAACCACGGGGAATGCAGTGCAGAGCTGCAGCCCTTCAGTGCATGCATGCATGGTCTATGTCCTGGAACCTTGTCATGTCCATCATCGACACTCTCGACGGAGCTTCATGCCTGGTATGCATGCAAGAGTGGTACTTGGCTCGGACGAAGCCGAAGATAATCGGTATAGTTGGACAAGAACATGACCAATTGGGAGCTGCTACGACGGAGGTAGTGCACTATAGATGGGCGTACTGAGTGGGAAGGGAAGGGAAGATGTGTGACACGAAGGAATTGGGACCGATCATCAAGATGAGGAGTTTGATACGGCGACTTACGGCGCTTCTACCAAGACAATCGGACTGTCATACGGAATGGTGAGGGGATCCTTGAATTAACAGTCATTCTCAAAAGGATTCAGAGCGCGGGGGAACTCGAGAGACCCCCAAAATGGAGGCTCAACTTGCTCAGGGCATGGGTAACTTAGTAGGTGATGGACTCTTCACTGAGATGGCAGAGGACAAAGAAACCCTGGCTGCCAAAAAGACTCGTCTGACCCATTGACATGGTAGGGTTTCAGTCCGAATCATATGCGCAGCCTAATTGGGTTGACGTCCTACAACATGGACTAATTGATTGACGGTTCAGACACAGGCAGCACCAAGGAACGCAATCACTATATACTAATACTTACAAAAGCTTATCACATTTCTCTTATATCGCATTGCACTGCAAGTCATTATATTCAAACTATCCTCTAGTCCGGCATCTTGACTAGAGTCCGATCGACAAGACAAGGATGCATATGAGTCAATTCAAATAATTACAACATGCAGAATGACCCGCCTATACCAGACCCCGGACCTGCTGTACTCTACAGTATCTCGCATACCGCTCTGAGACATTTCGACGCCAAGCAGGCTGCTGCTACAACTCTACAGCTCGAAATATGTATACGATTAGCTGTGACTCCACGCGATTACCTACGATTTATGAGCTGGCATGCATTGATCAAGCCAAACATCAGCCCTATGTATGTGACTAAAGGTGGGTGCTCGGGAATGTGCCAGACGAGGAATGCATTGCGATGGATGGTAGCCTATTTGAGCTGTCTGAGGGTCGTCTGTTCCGCATTCCCTACAAGAGCATTGGACCATATCGTTACAATCAGATGTAGGTAGTACAAAACCCAGATACCCTCACTAGTGGGAAACCAATGAAAGGCATTGAAACTTTTACTCATATTTGTTCTATCATTCAACATAACTTTTACTTAATACTTTCATCATGATCCCAATAGCGTAAGCTTCTTAACTCCTGTCACAACAGGAGGCTCCAACTTCTTTCCCTGTCCCATCACGAAATCTTGCAACACTGCATCTCCTCCTGTAGCATGCCACGCCGGCTCGCCCTCTGGCTTCTTCTCACTCTCCGTTTCCAATGGCTTGAAAACATCCGCAACAGCAGAGGTGCAAGCCTCAGACACCTCGGCCATGAGGGCTTCCGCGGCGCGTGCTCGCTCAGGCATGTTTCTTCGCACAAGCGCAAAGATGAGACGCTCGGTATCGGCTGCGGCGGCGCTTACACGCTCAATCAGACGACGGATACTGTTGACGAGGTATTCCTCCTCGTAGACTGTTCCCTTACGGCCACGAGCGCGCTTCTTTTCTTCTCGCTTGCGGTTCTTACTTGTTGCGCGACTGACGCCTGTTCCAGCTGTGCCCACGCTTCCAGCCTTGCCTGTGTATCGTGTGAAGAGTGATGCACTGGTGCTGACGCGCGAAGATGCAGCGATTGAAACATCATCGGGGATGTCCATGCCACCGGCGCGATCTCCTTCGTAGAATGCAAGAGGATCTTCGATAGCCTTGCGTCGAAGCTCAGCGACACGAGGAACCTGGGCCTTTAGCTGAGCCTTGCAGTCAGCAAGGAACTCAGTTGTAGTGCCTAGTGCGTCTGCAAGACCGGTGTCGACACTGGTGGCTAGAAGATCGGAACGGTTGCGTTGAACGACAAGGCGGATAGTATCGGCGAAGTGGTAACCCTTGCAGAGGCATCGGACAGCCATATCAATAGAATCGAGATATTCGAGGTGGATAGTCGCCGCAGACGAGTAATCTTTCGATTCCCAGAGGGCATCCGCAAGGTTGTTGGCGAGGTCAGCCATGGCCTCAGACGACATGGGAGGTTGCTGCTGGGCCGCAGTGTAGAGACACTCCTGCCAGCATGCAGCGCCGGCGGTTCGGTAGCAGCTTGTTGCCTTGGCGTAGTTCTCGAGGGACTCGTAGGCGAGACCTGCCTCACGGTAAGCCGAGGTGGACTCGAGGTAGGCGGCATATGCAGCTGTAAGCTCTCGAAGGCGGGGAGGGTCGTAGCGGTAGATTCGCAGGGCATCGTGGTATAGAGAGTGTTTAACGGTGTATGCGAGAAGCTCGTCGAAGACATCCAAAGTCTGGAGATGGCCAAGGGCCTTGACACGGCGTTCAAGGTGATCATCAATTTCGAACTTTCGACGGAGCTCTGGAAGAGAGTGCAGGTTCTGGATAAAGGGCAAGTATTCACGAGGATCGCGCTGTGATTGTTGAGCGACGAGGAGAGCCAACTCGAGGTTATAAAGACCCAGAGCGTTCTCATATAGACGGTTGACGTCGACCAGGAAACAAATATGCTCGACAGCCTTCTCAGCGATCTTCTCGTCCTCGCGCATCAACTCAGAGACAAGGAGAAGACCATCGTCGAGGGCAGGTGGCGACTTGCACACGTGCGCAGTAATAGTGTTCTGGAGGTTGGTGGCTTTGCGGCTCTGTAGGGCGCTGAGAAGAGCGTCGCAGACGGTGTTGACCTTGGCTGCAGAACCACGAGGTGCAGGAGACAGGTCAGAGGGAACGGCATCTGTACCGAAGGCTTTGGGCCGCTTTGTGTCTTGGTACATGGTCTGAGTGACATCTTCGGCACTGTTCTTGGTTAGTTTGGGACTTGACTATATGATCAAGGGATGCCTTACCGAAGCGAAGAGAGAAAGAGATCAATGTGGGCGACGTCTGGGATTTGGTCGAGGAATAGTCCCACATTGGTCAAGAACTGCTCGGGCTGATGGTCGTAGAGGATATTCATATCCACACGCTGAGTTCGGCAGTACGAGAATGCCCGTGAATAGTTCTTCTCGTCAATCAAGTTGCGAATACCAGCCACCACCATAGCTCTAGGGAAGACAGTCTCCAAGTTTCCACGGGGCATCTGAAGAACGATACTCATGTTGGAAGGAATGGCAGTGACAAGTCGAGATCCGCGCTCGACGCTACGGCATCGTTCGTCGGTCTCTGGGTCATCGGCCGGGACTTCAAGCTCTGATAGGTGTTAGCGGATGGTTGTGAAAGACTTCGGTGTAGCTTACCATTGACATCAGCGGACAAGTGAACAAACTTGACCAAGTGGTTGTTAGTAGTGAAGATGAGATGGCTTGGAGTGGCGACAAAAGAGGTACAGTTCTTGGCTAGGAGACGAGAGTTGGCGTAGATATGACCGTTCCTGGACAGACCAAATGCAACGATTTCTTTGTCAACTTTGCTGATCTCGAACCAAGGTAGTTGTGTCTGGAATTGAACGGGGAGAATATCATTGCCAGAATCGCTGATCTGGAATAGCTTTCCTGAGTTGTCTTGACCATAGCCTGTAAAGAAATTGTCGTCTTGATAACTGGCTGTAGCAACCAAGTTCTCCTTGGAGTTGATATCGGCAAGAGATGCCTCACCCTCCCCGCTAACCTGCACTGATCGCTGAACAAACCCCTTTTCTTCCTCAAAACTGAAGTAGTGGAAAGCATCAGCAACAGCAGCAATTCTGAGAAGAGCGTTGTAGCCAGGGCTAGCCATCTCGTCAAAGGTGATCTTCTTCGAGAATTGCGGCTTGATGGACCGGCCATTCTTGACAGGCCAGGCATAAACGTCAATACCTTTACGGTGGAGGATAGCAAAAGAGGTGTTATCGCGACCAAAAGTAACGTCAACTACGGCTGAGGCAACCGTGATGTCGAACATTGACATGGGAGGTGGTACGTTGACGGTTCGGAATGGGGTCAATTTGACCGTCTCACCATCGATAACTGCGATAGCACCGTTGTCGTGGGGTGGTAGACATGACCCCCTTGCTGTGTAGAAGATATGCTCGGCCACAACAACATTGCTTGTAGAGGCAGCAGCGAAGCGCAGAGCCTTCTCAGGGTGCCACGACAGACATGTCGAGTTTGCCTCGATCGGCATCTCTTGCTTGAGATACCAGTGATAGTTACCCACGGTCCATAGCTGGATCATATCCTTGAAGATGACTGCTAGAACCGTAGAATCCGAGTTCCACTCAAGACGTATCTTTTCATGAGCATCAACTGGCCCAGAGGGAGAACGAAGTGTGAACTCTCCGTGTCGTAGACCGTTCCTCTCGAAGAAAACAACATCTATACGGTTTGAGAATCTTTGAATACCAGCCATCAGATTTCCAGCTGGTCGCCAACTCAAAGCACTCTCGAAACCGTCGACAGGCTCACTTGCACTATCGAGCTCACCTTCTCGGGAGTAAACTCGGATAACACGGCGAGAACCCTCTTGCACGGAGTTGATAGCGACGTATGCACCGTCTCCTCTCCAGCTAATAGTCGTCGCTCCGTCTTCTTGAGGACTAGGTACACCCTCATCGACCTTTTCAGGGATCGTAGGATCACGCATGGCCTTTGCGCCCCGACCTTGGAATTGCGTCTCCTTCTTTCCCCATCCAACGGAAACATGCTTAGAAGCATTGAGATCCTCCACTGTCATTGTGATTTCTGCAACGGGATCAAAGCTTGAGCCCATAAAGATAACATTGTTCTCCTTTGTGACGATGATAAGTAGCTCCTCATCAGGAGACCATCGAGCGGCAGCAATACCAGCATCAATGGAACCAACAATCTCGATATGAGCATCTTGGCCTGAAAAATCATCTTCCTGAACTGTGATGATGTCGCCTCCTTCGAGGACGATACATGTAGTAGCCGAACCACTCAGATATTGCAGACTAACGACTTTGTCGACAGAAAGATCTGGTGTTGGGCTGGGAGCATCCCAACTTGCCACTGTACGAACTGAACTATATAGAGTCAGTGATGATTCTTATATGTAATGCATTGTTCTATGAGTGGGATAGATAGATATATGGACAAACACAAATACAAACACTTACACATCTTGATCGCCAGCGATCCTCAGTAACTCGATACCACTGCTCTCCTCAGTCGGTCCAGCTACGCAAAGAACTTCATCCTTCTCAGGATCCCAACAAGCAGCTGTGACATTTGCACGCTGGCATTGTCCGAATCGAATGTTTCGAAGGTTGCGCATCTTGTTGCAAGTGCAATATTATCAGGTGGGCAGATATCGTTCGACCAGTACCGTACCAGTTCTGGTCCCCTTCGGACAAGGCCGACAGACAAAGTGGTGATATTCTTTTCTTTATTTTCTTGGGTGTGAATGAAACGGGAAATCAGCGGCGATGTATTTGCTAGATTTGGAGTCGAAGCCCGAATTCGAGATTTTTTGCGGTACTTGATGAGGTTGGTGGGTAAAGTAGCCTTGCGGGGTGGTTTAGCTTTTGCGATACCTGCTATGACTCCCAGATAAAGTACCTATACCTATACCCCGACTCGCCATCGTTGAAAGTTCAGTTTTTTCTCTCCCATCTGGCTGCATCACACTTCTTCTCTTTTCCGTCTAGATCAGCTCTTTTCACAGGCACAAGCAATAGGTACCAGACCTATTAATGCAGGTTTTTCTCTTTACGATTCCGGGCCTCGGCGATTATTGTATTTTCCTACTTACCTTATTTTTAATGAGCCGATCAATCTAATGCAGTCACCTTTTCATCTTCTAATACATATACCTGATCTTGTCCCCTTCCTTGATTGACCATTTATTTACCTAGTACCTAGCTCACTTCCATCTGCCGTTTATATCCAGCTGCACCTCAGTTCGCCATCACATGCCGATCCCGCTATCGGTTGAGTCCATTGACTTCCCGTCTCTCCGCATTTCATTTGCACCCAACTCAAAACCACCCCAACATAACCTAACGCTGCCCGTATTGCCACACAAGTTAGGCTGCTTCCTCGCCTAGCTATTGTTTACAACGACTTTCATTGACGATATCTGTTCCGCGACGAAAACCATACCATCGCCATCATGGACGTTGCATATAATCAACATGCCGACCGCGCTCGTCGCAAGAATCGCTCCTCTTCCAGCCTGAACCACCTCTCTCTCGCGCCTCTGACCGCCAAGCTCCCCCTCAATGACGACGAACTTCTAGCCGACGGCATCGCATCGCATCCTCACTCGCCCATCCATCCAATTCCCTCTTATATCCAGGGAAAGTCAGCGCCTACGACTCCACGTCTTTTCGCCCGCTCTCCTACGGCACCGCGTTCGCGGTCAACTACCCGAACTCCGTCCACACCACTTGCCAAGAGCAAGTCCGCATCCCACCTCGCTGGCAGCGGAACACGAAAGGGCCGCTCAGGTCGTGCAACGCCTAAACGTCCCAAAGATGATATGAGCTTCAGCATGCGCCATCGCAATGACAGCGATTGGTTGCTCCGAACCGGCGCGCTAATGAGCTCTGAAGCTCGCGAATCCAAGGGTCAGACATGGCTTATATCGCGTCAGAGCTCGACCAGCCTAGGAGGAATGGATCCCGATGACGACGCCTTCGAAAACGAGCTTGCTCGCGAGCGTGAGCTCACGAGTCGTCATGCTAGCCGTCGTGGTAGCGTTGTTCCAATTGAGGAGGACGCGTCCCCATATGCTAGTCGCTTCCCCAGTCGCTCTCACAGCCGCTCTCATAGCTTAGCTCGGTCTCGGAGCCTTCTCCATTCGCCTCTTGAGCTATCGACTACTGCAGAAGGGTCTTATTTCCCCCATCAAGAAGTTGACAATGATCTTCCCGGCCCTGATTTTGTGAATCTTGATGAAAAGCTAGAGGAGCTTGAGCAAGATGCATCCCTAGATGATGAAGCTACCGTAAGACGACTCGTTCGAAAGGGCCAAGCAGGTACAGGCACCTGGTTTGGTAGCGTTTGGTCTCTTTTCTCTGTGGAAGAGGATGATGAAGATTCAGACGAGGACAGTGATGAGACCCCACGAGACGAGTCCCAGTTCGACCGCTCTCGTAGCTGGTCATCCCGCAATCTGGAAGGCATAACAACCGTACCAGAAGAACAGGTACCTCCTCCAAAAGCTGATGAAGGTGGCTGGAAGGATGCAGCCTGGTTATTGAGCGTGGCCACGAAGGTGATGTTTTAGACCGAGTTATTTTAAACCCAAGACGATAAACCGTGCCATTATGTTTATACAATTGGTAGAGCAACGGATGTAGTAAAAAGAGAATGGACAATAAGCGTAATATGTTAGTAGTATGTATCTGGGTTATACAGCCCTGGCTTTTCTTTCAAACGGATAGCAGACTTTTCGAGATCAATAGATACTTTGATTCCTTCGGTTTACCTTCCTCTAAACCGAGTCGCACATGATGCAGTCAGTATTTGGAGCATACTTCTCATTCAGCCACCTAGAAAACTTCTCGAACAAATATAATGTTTCCAGCAAGTTTCCATCCCAACTCCAACATCGGCGCCGTGCTTTGCTGGGCCGGCGCGGGGTGCGTTCACCGCCCCACTCCCGGGCCCGTTCCACAGCCCGGAAGACAGTGTCAACTGACAGCGAAAGTGGCCCGCTTACAGTCAATGCCATTACTACTGTACAAGTCGACCGATTGCCACGTCACTTTTTGCTTCTTCTTTTCTTCTGTTGTGTACCTCGTGCACACACTGCTACAGCCCAAGCCCAAGCGGATGCAAATAAGAAAAGAGAGAGATAGGAATGAATACCCACAGCATTCGTCCGGCTAAGGTATGAATGAGAGCTGAGTAGAACAAGCCAAAACCGGTTTGTGGGGGGAATTATCACGCAGGAGGGATGTGCTGCGGGCCTCGAATGGGGCCATTCCGCGTGGGAATAATGGCAGGGTCTTGCAGATTGGCTTGATGGGAGATATGTCACCCGTCAAGCTTCGTTAGATGTGGTGATGCGATTCGTGTACATGGCAGTTGAGGCGCCCAAATTGGGTGAACCCTTCCAGCCATGCTGAGTCACTGGTGGTTCGATTGTGTGCGGAATACTTTCGACAAAGCGTCTTACCATCTAAGCATATACAGCTTCGAAAAAATGACCAAGCGTCAGAAAGTCGTCGGTCACTAAGCAGTTAAGATGTGATGGCTTGCGGTGAGGTCCAATACAGTGGGTACCAGCCGCAAAGACAGCCCAATATCAAAACCATCAATCAGGACATGGATCACTTGATAAGATCCTGTATTTAAGTGGGAGCATAATTAATGCCCCTCTGTATGACAGGTGGGTTTTAGCCGGCAGTTAACTTGACCTTGATGTTCGCAAGCCAAGCTACAGTGTAACACCTCATAAGAGTCAAGACCGTGAGGGTCCGTCTAGTCAGCCATGCCATTTGACGAATAGTTAGCACAGAGAGTAATGAGCTGGCCAGCGTTTGAGCCGTCGGTGGTTGGACCCCGCCATCAGTCATGACCATGACCGTGATCGTGACCGTGCACGAGGGGCAGGAGGGGTGCTAAATGAGATTGATCAACGGACCCTGCAGGGACCCGACCCAACATTGGCGTAGCGAAAGCTACCCGAAGACGTAGCCAGGCCAAGCCACAGGTTGACAACAGAACGAAAGGATGAATGGAGAAAATGCCGCACCGAGGATCACTGCGGTGGCTGGTGTGAAAGACAGGCAGCATTGATATTCATGTCGCAATGTTTGAGGGGTTCGTTGCGTTGGCTGGGTCCAGCTTTTCGACGGGTGGGCCAACGGGCATAAGACGGCGTGCATGTCATTCTAAGCTTTCTGAATGCCTGCAGGAGCTTGCCTTCCTAGCTTTCCCAAAAGTTGGAATCTTTGTTAGAAGCTCCAGCACCTGCGGCCGAGATGCCGATCGTATCCTATCTGAGTACCAACCAAGACTTGGGCAGGTGGACCGGTAACTCGGTGAAGTCTGAACGTTGCGACTTGTCTCGAGTTCGGGTACCTGACTATGTTGTCCTATTGTTTTTTTGTCGAAGTGAGCTGGAGATAAAACACCGTTGGTAAGCGACTTCGTATATGTATAAGTTCTTTCGGCCGAGAAAAGTATTCAGGGAAGAGACGTTGACACAGTGGGCTATCAGGTCAGTGGCTGGCCAGCGAGTGGAGGAATACCGGGTACAGGGCAATATCAAATTGCTTCAGCTTCGGGTGACGGTATCCTGGACCCCGGAAACATACCGCAACGGAAGATTTTATGTATGCTCTAATCATCCAGCCATCCTCCACGGAGCCTAAGCCCTAGAACCTATGACCGGCCTGCTGGATATAGCGAGTCTCTGGATTCTGGAGATCCTTGTACACCGTCCTTGCATAGTGTATCGTTCGCATAAGCTAGGGAAGGCGATTGTATGAAACACCGTTTTGTCTAGGATTCCGGATACAGGCCGAAGAAACTGTTCCTCTTCATGGTCGCATTTGGATATGGCTTGTTTTTTTTGTGGTGCATGCTGCCGTGAACTAGCGGAATAACGTTAAGGCTCGAGTATTTCGCGCTAGGCGGACGCGGTTATGAGTCCCGGAGAAACGAGAATAATAAGGCGAGCGACTTCCTATCATGAAGAGGTCGGGTGGGATACCTAAAAGAAGTTTCCGATCGTGTGCCGAGTCAGCGATGTTGAGGAGCGGCTTTGCTATTAAGGTATCGCGTGGCACAAGCATGGATGGCACTGATCTAATCTGGTGTGGCCTGAAGAGGAAGAAGGAAGAGAGTGAGAGCAAAAGGACGAACTCGATATCAAGAACCAACAGCAAGCAGCATGAATGATGGATTGAGTGAATGGATGGATGGTAGGATGACAGGCGATCTTTTGCGGTTTGGGGATTGGTGTCTCCAATGGAAGCTTTGGAATCTAGGCCTTCTGCTTCTCGACGGAATGGAACCAAATGATGCAACAGCTGCTCTTTCCCCAATTTTCCCTCTCTCTTCAGACTCTTCTTCTCTTTTTTAGTGGACTCTCGTACAAAACACCGACGTAATCGGCAGGGCCCCTCCAGACTAGACTGGGCCCTTGCTAATTATTGGAACCGACGGGGACTGGGGGCGTTTTGACTTCTGAAAGTGTACTGCAGCGCAGTTGTCAAGTGAATGTCGTCCGCTGTCTACGAGTTTTCCCTCTTTTCCTCTCTTCCGTGAATCTACAATTCTATCCTTACCTACCCTTTCGCCTATAACTCTCTACGGCTCTCCTCAACGGCTCTCCTGTGCCCCCTGCTCGTGCCCTCTGACGCTATATTCAGCCACTGTCGTCAGTCGTACCAGGGCAACCCTCCTCGGGACCTCCCGCAAAACATCCATCAGCATTTGACTGGACTTGACTTCAAGTCAACCAGCTCTTTTACATCCACACGCGCCGAGTCGATATTTGCCTATTTACCTATACGCGAAGACTCACGGAAGGCGCGCAGAGATATAATTCAAAGACCCTAGAAGTAAAATAAAGAAAACAAGCACCGATAAAGATATTCTTACCTCACGACCTACCTGATATAAAAGTGTCGACAGTCTAATCACCCCGCCTCCCACTGTTCATAGGTAAGGAGATATGTCTCTCTATTCATCTACTTATCTATTCTATGCATGCGCATTCTTCTTCTTTTCGGTTGTGTCTCTGTTTGCTTTCTCAGAAACGGATAGTCTATGAATAGACATCTATCCTGAATAGATGTCTCTCTTACCTTACCTGAGATATGTAGATTTAGCTCGGCCTTAGTTAGAGGTCAAGTTGAATCGCCTAAATTTTCGTTATTTTTCCGCACTAAACACCATCCCCCACTCACTCCCCCTTGACGTGCCGTCCGTCCCAGTCTCAAACCCAGACTCAGATCCATGGATGAATGACTGACTGGGTGTTGGGTTCGACGACGCCTTGCATTTGCTAGGTAGAGAGCGGCGAGCAGCTCAGTCAAACCCCACTCACAATGGCTACTGTACTGTGCTGTCGATTGTACTGTTGTTGTTGTTGTCCACTTGCTATCTATTTCCATTTCCATTCTAGTAAGCTGGTTATGGATCTGAAAGACCCTCACTCTCCATCGTTAGCCCCTCACTTATGAGGTTAACTGCCCACATACCAGCAGCCGATATCACACACTTCTTAACCGCCGCCTTCTGGCTAAGCCATATCTTGAGCCCTTGTTCTCCTCTGCTTGCCTTACTTTGCTTTTTGCTTTGTTTGACTTCTGACTTTGGTTTGCGCTACTGAGCTGTGCTCTATTTCTTGTCTTTTTCCTTCTCTACACGTCTTCAAAAGAGTCTTACTCTTACCGAGCTCTCCTCACCTATATCGTCATCGTTCGGATAGCTGCTGCTCCCGTGAACTCAAAAAAGGACCCCCAATCAAGCAACCTCAGGTACACACACACAACCAAGCCCTTGGAATCAGTTCTATCCCCAACGGTCACTCGATCAGTTCTGTTCAGTTCTTTTCGTACCTACATTCCTGATCGCCATTGCTGCTACCTGCTGGAGCTGGAGCTGGACAAGAAAGCGGCAAGCGTCACTCGAGCGCCATAGTGTCGCTTGTTCTGCAACTTGAGACCCCTAGCCAGCCACTCCACTCACTTACGGATGGTCATCTTGTTCCCTTCCCCTCGGGCCAAGCTTCCACAACACGTCCCGCTCTAGCTTTACTTACCACTTTCAACCTTCAAAAATCCAATACTACTTTGACTTTGCCATTCCTCCTTCTCCTAGCAGCTTTGGTTTTAGCTTCAGCTTCAGCTTTGGATTTTTATTCTTCATTGTTTTTTCTTTCTCTTCTTCTTCGGCTGAGTCTCTAACACATACATAGCTCAGGTGTCACCGTCTCTCTCCGACTATACTCTTTCGCCGAGCCCGCATTGCTACCCCGGAGCTGTCCAGAACCGCTTCGCATAGTTTTATTACCTTGTCTACCCATACCGATCATAGACAGATACTACAGCAAATATGTCGCCAGCTGAGACTAAGGTGGGCTCGATACTGGATGCGCATCAAGTCAAATCTGGTCACTAACCCACCCCAGGCCGAACCCGTCGACGAGGTCGAGTTCGGCGATAACATCGACATGAACACTTTCGAGCAAATTCTGGAGATGGACGAGCCAGGCGATTGCGAGTTTAGCCACTCCATTGTTTTCGGCTTTTTCGAACAGGCAGAAGAGACTTTTGGACAGATTGATACCGCATTGTGAGTAGGACTTAACAAGCAGCAGCTCAGTCATATTCTGCACTATGTCCGGACGGCAGGAAGATCTTGACTGACCATCATTGTTTCTGCGATTTTAGGGATGAGAAAAATCTTGAAGAACTGTCATCTCTCGGCCACTTCCTCAAGGGTTCTTCAGCGACACTGGGACTCGTCAAGGTCAGGGACGGATGTGAAGCGATCCAGCGATATGGCAAGAATGAGAATTTGGATGGCTCTACCCTAGATGATGACGAGAAGTGCCTAGAGCTCATCCGAGACTCCTTCACCGTTGTTAAGAAAGATTACGACGTGGTAAAGGAGCAACTGGAGAAGTACTATGAGAACAAGGAATAACGCAGTTACACCACTCAAATAATGCCTCGGATTGAGTCAACACGTTCACGTTCGAACAGAAACAAGCTTTCTGAAGCGCAACGCCCTTGTCGCGCACCGTGAGCGAAGGGGGGTAACGACTCGTCAAATACTTGTTGTGTTTTGGGTATATTCAGGGACGGAGAGGCCGGGTTCATCGAAGCAGATACCCCAGGCCTTGGAAAGGCTTGAGGCTGAGAGAACGACCCGTCAGGTTAGTCATAGTAGGAGGTGACACGAGGAAGTGTGGAATGAGATGCTGTTCCCCTCCTCGTTCAATTGAAAAGAAGATCCGTGATGAAGGGGAAAGATGGCTTGTAGATAGACTTGACCAACTATGGATCTGACGCAAAAGAGAAACATTGTCCTAACTAGTTCCTTGCTGTGATATAGGTTGTGGAACTATCACATTACGAGATCTGTCTCTTTGGATCGTTTTTGATTTCAGTATATTAGTCCTCGTGCTGAAGTTCTACGTATGTACATATGCGACTGTTCTGATACGTCTCCAGAAAGCTCTGACATTAGGTGGTGGGGTAATCTTGACACAGCTTACAGCAATCTATAAGATCAGCCGATACGAAGACCTGACATCATCGGGGTGTTATGAGCCAACGTCAGATGCGTTACATACATCGTGTTAGTCATGTTCCACAACCTCAACTCTACCGCATGGCAGGGTATGCGAACATTGATGTTCTATATTCGTGCCCCTTGCGGCTTGAGATTTTTGAAATACATGCGGAAGAGATCTACTTGCTAACTTGATCAACGGTTTAGGGAAACATACGTTGAAGACACTTAGACTGCTATCTTGATTTTGAAGGATAACGCATACTCAGACAAGTGCCTTTCCATCAACCAGAACTCACAACTGCAAACATGCCGCCCAAACCAGGCAGACCGTCCCCAACACATTTCGTGTGTATTTCCTTGACCGGACCGCAGCTTGTCAGAAGCATTGCTGCTTTCCGCACAGAGGTTACCAATCCTGCCAGCTTTGGGATTCCACCAACAGCAGTGCGACCAGCCGGCACGCTACATCTGACGCTTGGTGTTATGAGTCTTAAGGACGAAGGTGTCCAGCAGGCAACCGAGGTACTGAAAAGCTTGAGACTAAGCGAGTTCCTTGCAGATGCTAAAGCTGGGACATCCTCAACTGCAGAGCGGCTTTCGATTACGCTGAAAGGGTTACATGCTATGCAGTCGCCTGCGAAGACTTCGGTGTTGTATGCTGCTCCTGTAGATACAGAAGGGATTCTGTACAAGTTCTGCGAGCAAATCAAAGCCACATTCCAAGAGGCAGGACTGATGGCTAAGGAAGATAGACCATTGTTGCTCCATGCAACCGTAGTCAACACGATTTACGTCAAGGATGATCGAGGAAGAAGAATCCGAGAAAGAATGACCATTGATGCACGGGACATGGTCAATCTATATGATGACTATGTTTGGCTGGAAGATATGCCTGTGGACAGAGTTGCGCTATGTCGAATGGGTGCAAAGAAGATTGAGGGAACGGATGACGAAGCATATGAAGTCGAAGCTGAGGTCGAGTTCTAACTGTAGCCTAGAGAACCCGATTTATCTTGGCTGTCCAGGCAATGCTGTAGCGAATATCGTGGCTAAGGCCCTGACTTGGAGAAGCCTAGACATGGACTGATTGTCAGGCACCTAAATTACTCTACCAGCAAAGGAGATGATGAGATGATGAGATGATGAACTACCGAATTAGACAGCAAGTTTGAACAAGGCAGCCGCTTTCCAACCTATTTCCCAGTAGATTACCAACCATTTATTCATAAAACCTTGAAGGCTGACAGAGCATCCGAGGTTATCAATTTGGAATCAGTGAGCAGGCAACAACTTTCAATGTAAAAGTGGTCTTTGTAGAGTACTGGTAGAGATTTTATGTTATCAGCAAATCAAAAGTAACACTCAATTAATCCTGTGACAAACCCATAGCCGCATAATGACTCCTGTTGGCGGTTTCATTCGATATCAAAACCGGGATGTGATACAGACGTTGTTATAAACTCAGAATTAGCGCAGCCTTCAGTGGGCGGCCGCCTAAAGTTCCTAATCAAGTACCCAGCCCCAGGCATCACAATAAGAATCAAACGTCATCAACATCCATAACTCTTTAACGTCTCTACACAATCAGCCGCTTGGATTGAACTACCACTGCACTTGATGCCAGCGACAATGCGGAAACAGGATCGCCTAGCATCGGACCCCACGACTTGACGATCCGATCCTCTTCAGTGGAGGCTATACACACACCACAATCTGACAGCTCCGCCTCGTTACCGCCATGAACACTTCTGAAAAGCGCCGTCCTGGCCCCGGGAACTCGTCTGCCCATACGTTGCGAACAGGCGCCTCGAATAATAATCGAACCAGCAGCATGCCAGCCATGCCGCCGAAAGCTGCCATGCCTTCCAACACCAACGCGACCCCCGAAGAGTCCCATGAGACGAACAGCAGCGGCGGCGGTGCCCCGCTCAAAGAGAAGGAGAGCACGGCCACAGGAGCCAGCAGCACAAAGGACAAGGATCGTGATAAGGAACGCAAGGAACGGAGGGAGAAGAAGGAGAAAGAGCGCGGGCTTGAGGCTGCTCTGAAAGAGAAGGATGAGAGAATCGCGTACCTGGAGAAAGAGATGGGTATCATGGAACGTGAGTTCCACCGCGAATTGGACAAGCTTAGCCAGAACGAAAGCGAGACAGCGACATTTTGGCAAGCGAAGCACAGTGCATTGAACCAGCAATATTTACGGACGGACACCGAGCTACGGCTTTTGCGCGCCGAGGTTGAAGTACGAGAAGGCGAGCGTGAAGAGCTCAGAGAGGGCTGGGAGGTTCTACGGCGAGAACTGAAAGAGCGAGACGAAGAGATTCGGGGACTAAGAGGCCAAGTCCGTGGGCTAAAAGAGTGGGTGAGTAACAGCACGAGAACAGATGGTCAGGAGTGCGACGAGGTCTTTGGCGATGGCATGGCACGATTGGGCAACGGACTTCAAAACTGGGTTATAGTGAACTTCAGGAAAGCCAAAATAAGTGAGTAGTCCTGCTGCTGGTCGAAAGATCTACGTCCTAATAGCTAGCAGATCTGGAGAATCTAGACGAGGCGACATTGGCTGAGATTAGCGAGCTCGTGCCCATGTATGAAGAGCTTGCGTCGACACACAAGGTTTACCTCTTGCAGTCCATTGTATCCAGGATACTAGTCGAGATGGTCTTTGATACCTACTTTGTTGGTTTGACAGAAGAGCAGACGCAGCAGTTCCGGCAATTAGAAAAGCTGATATCTACATATGGTACGTATATAGTTACTTGTCACGATAGTCAATTGCTAATTTTGGCAGCCAACTCTGACGAAGCCATCAATCAATGGAGGTCCTCTACCTTATCTCTGCTCCATAGAGATGCTTCTTCCCTGGAGGAATCAACAGCATCTGTCACCGAGACTATCTTGACACGAATAACCCGAATCCTGGACGCCCTGTGCGGCACATCTTCCTCTGAAGCTCGAGACAGTGGACTGCGAGTTCTTGTTAATAACTCTGTCGAACTGGCGCGACTCGTTGCTGTTCAAAAAGCCGTTCTCCGTGTGAACATGCCTACGGTATTACCGCATCAAAGAGTTATGTTCGAGCCCGAAACAATGGAAGATCTAGGCGGAGAAGACGAAGAATCACTAACTGGAAGAGAAATATGCTGTGTCGCCTTTCCAGGGGTGACCAAGCATGGCGATGAGCACGGAGGCCATTTGCAATACCGAAATATCATACTCAAAGCCAGGGTGCTGTGCAGCCCTGAGCAATAGAAAATACCTACTCAGAACCCTCAGGCTGTCGACAGACATCATGTCTGTTGACATAGCCGGGGTACTCAACAACTCGCTTTATAGCCTTACACTGTACTTGAAGATTCCTGAAATACAAGGTCACGATTCACTAGAGAGCTTGATACACAAATTATATATTACACTACTCATACTGAGATCTGCTTGGGTTTAGTGGGCAGAGAGCAGTCCAAGATGGTTTAGAGTACTGTACATTAATGAATTACGACTATATTTCCACCTATGTCCTCCAAGCAATCATGAAGTGATAGGAAAATAGAACGAACGACAAATCAAAGTTGGTAGATCCTGTGGTGTGGACGACACTTGTACAACTCAGCCAAGTTATCACTTATATCAGCAAGCCTGAATTAGATGAACGACAGATATTTCCCATTCGCCTCCGCTATGACAAAAACCCGACTAAAACTACCGGAAACCCTAAGTACAAGAATATCCATAACCGTACCGACATGCATCGCGTTCAAACAATCTCGCATAAACCTCATCCCAGGCATTATCTCCGTAAACATAATGGACCGCACCAACCGACTAGACATGATATAACTTGTAAACTTGATACCGGGAGTAGCATAACTAGGCACCGTTTGGTTGTTCCGACCCCTTGCCGTCGTCGCTGCCATCCTTTGGTGGTGGGGATGGCGGTTGATCTTCTGCTGCCGCCGCCGCAGCAGCCTCTTCCTCCGCTATCATTTGTCTGAGAAACTCGGCTTCTTCGTCATCCATCTCCTCTTGACCTACTTGGCCCTCATCACCCTCCTCACCGATGGGACTCTCGGGAATGATGCCGTTTTGACGTTGCCAGACCTCGCGTCTGATGCGGTCATCCTTGGCTTTGCGAGCTCGCTCAACCTCCTCAAATCCGCCAGACTTCTTGAGCTTGCCGTCCGCAACGAAGTTGATGATTTCGCGGTGCATGGGATTAACATGTCGTGTCGCAAGCTCTTTCTGGCGTAGTTTCTCGGCACGCTCAATAGCTTCGAGACGATCTTCGTGGTTTGGCTGCAGCGCTCTCACCTCGCCGAGAACACCCTCCTTTGCCGCGCTCTGATCGGAGCTGTTGCCAAGGTTGATAAGACCCTTTGAGAATTGTCGAGCGGTTCCTGCACTAGCACCGGTGCCATTGTCCTTCATCTGTTCCTTGGTTGCCTGTTCCACAAGCGTAAACGTTTCTGAAGCTTTCTCTAGATCATCTCGCAGATCAACCAAAAGATCTTCCATAAGACGAAGCTCGTCACGACCCTGGCAGACGTCTTCCAGCTCCTTCTCCCAGATTTTGGTCCAAATGGGCTTCTCCTGAGTCATGTACTCTTCCATTCTCTTCAGTTCCTTGCTCAACGTCGAGATATCTTTGCCGACAGAATCCAGCTGTCGTGGGAGAGGTCGGACACCGCGGTGCACCACGTCCTTGCGCAGATCCTCGATGAGATCCTGGAGGTCGTCCACTTTACCAACCAATCGATCAGAGTCGCTATTGAGCTGCTTGCGGCCGCTGGTAACGTATGAGTAGCCTGCATCGCCCTCGATATCGGGAATAGCAGCCCTGGCTGTGGCAACCTTGACATTAGCAGCTTTGCTGCGAATAGTAGCCATGGAGTCCTGGATGTCGGCTTGAAAATTCGAATAGGTTTGGCGCATGACAGCCAGATCCTGTCTCAGACTCTTCAATTCTCCTAGGTGACTGTTATTCAATTTCCGGCCTGAAGTGAACTGTGTCTTGGCTCCATCAGTGGAGGCGGCTGAGGAAGGTGGTGACAGTGCCAGTCGAGCCATTTCGTTCACTGCTTCCTGCTGTCGGTCTGAGACTCGTTGTATAGCCGCTCCTTGATCAGTTACTGTTTGCTTAACGTCGCGGACGATCTCAGTCAAGGACGCAATTCCGTCGTCGATATGCCTCTTGACCTCGTCTAGGGCCTCCACATTCAGGACAAGAACGGTTCGATCCTTAACATCTGCCAAGTCTTCAAGTTCATGCCGTACACCAGAGACGGGGTCCTGAATATAGATTTCGGGAAGATCGGCGCCATTGTGTTGTGTATTCCAAGAAAACTTTTCGATAAACGCAAGTTGCAGTCGCCCGATTGTAAGCTCGGCCCTTCCTTCAGGTAGAACAAACTTCTTGACTTTAGATTTATACTGGAGGAACAAGGTCAGATCCTTTGAGGGTGTTGGCGGGGGAGAGTCCTGGAAGTATGATGTTTCGGTAGGTTTTGGTGGTGGCGTGGGCGCAACTTCAGGTTGGGGCTTGGGCTTCTCAATCTTTGGTGTTTCTGGTGCATTGCCATCATCCTGATAGAACATAGGGTCAGTAGGAGGCCCGCTGAGCGTCGCACTGGCCGCATATGCTTCATCTGGAGTTTGAGGCACTGGACTATCTATTTTGGCGGGCAGTTCTGCCGGAGGGTTTTCTTCGGAAACCTTGTCTGGTATCCTTACGGGAGAGTCCTCCGCCGTGTTTGCTCGCAAAGACTGGCTTGAGTTATTGCGATTGTGTCGGATAGACTGTCGACCCTGCACCGCGCGTAGCGATTCTCGAACCTCCTTTCTTCCTCTGTTAGGGATGGGTGAGTTCTGCGAGGGCAAGATTGGAACACCATTGGCACCTCCCAGGTGCTTCGATATCTGATATTGAGAGTACCGACGTGAAGCTCGTCGTTCGAGATCTCCACCCTTCTGCAGAGCTGCGAGGGCGCTCGAAGTGTTGTCGGGCGGAGGGGGTGGCGGAGGAGGGAACGAATCGATATTGAGTTCTCCGGAAGGCGCAGGAGGCGCAGGAGGTCCTGATGGAATTGAACTGTCGCCTTCGGGATAAGGTGGCACTACCGGCATATTCTGCATCGTGTTGCTCGAAAGTGAAGATTGTTCTGATATCGCGGATACTCGAGACGAGTCCCGCTGGGCGTTGAAGCGGCGCGGAGATCGGTTACTACCACTCGACGAAGGCAGATTCTCAGTCGGCTGCGCCTCGGGCTGAGGCTGAAACCCATTCTCTAATCCCTCCTCCAACATGTTGGTGAGTCCGCTGTTGCCGCTGCCAACAGTGCTGATGCTGGTTGCTCTATCGGGTGGTGCATGGCCGTCGCGATCTCGAGCTTGTTTCTGACGAAGCTTCTGTTGTTTGCGCTTTAGGCCGTGTAGCAAATTGATGATTATGTCGCGGATCCTGGGCAGATATTTCTCTAAACTCTCGGCGCTGGCCTCTTGGCTCAGCGTTGCCTCAAGGATATGTCGCAGTGAATCGGGTACGTTTCCTAGATCGGATGTGTCAACATGAATGGCAGTAAATGCGCGGCAAGCCATGTTGAACTCGTATCCCAGACGCACGTAGACATCTGACACCTGGCTATCTGTAGCTTGCCCGCGCGACCATTGTGTCAGTGTCTCTAGGAGTTGTTTTGTGGCAACGAGCAGGTGCGTAACGCTCTTTTCGATCTGCGATAGAGGCATATTGGAACCGCTACCGGAACCCTGGAGAACAACAACGTCAGTATCTTGGTTGCAATCAGGCTTGGGCAAACGTGGGGCAGCAGGGCTCGGCAGGGGCACAATCTTGCCCACGTTGCAGATTATATACTCACTTCACGATTCATCCTTCGAGAACCGGCCGACTGTACAGATCTTGCCGAGGCGCTCGATGCTCGAGCCTGGAGCGCTGGTGAAATGGACCGAACAGGAACATTGGGCGGTGGTCCAGGCTCGGCGCCAGGCGAACGGCGATGGGCAAAGGCGCGTTGGGAGCCGGATGATGGAGCTTGCATGTTGGCTTATGCTTGAGATATATTTGTGTTCGCAACTAGAAATATGTGCTCGATTGAAGTCGAGGAAGAAGAAGGAGAGGTAGCCTCGTTTAAACGCGATGCTTCGAAGATCGAGCGCAGAGGGAATTCCTTAATGATCGGATTTCGGTGGCCTTCGAGGGGCAAGAGGCATCATCAAAACGAATGGACCGTAGAGAAATCGCAAAAGCGGGCGTTGAAGGTCGTCCAAGGCGTCGCAAGGAGACTAGAAAGAGTTCGTTGTAGCGAGAGTACCGAGAGCGGCTATAAAAGAAGAGAGATGTTGAGGTTGAGTACAGCAAAGCACAGTATGAGGGTGCGCACGATGGATGATGATGGTGGATGGATACAATAACTGACCTATCTGCACCTCATCAGTGACGAGACGGGACCCAATAGCTGAAAGTCCAGTGCCCAGCCCAACCCAACCTTGATCCATCCATCCAATCCACCTAGGCTATGGCTTAGTACTGTAGATGGGACCCCTGCACTATAGCACGTGCCACTGTAGCGCAAGGTTTAGAGCCTGAAAGCATCCATTTAAACATCAAGGCATTGAATGTTTGAGATCATAGGATTCAGTGAGTCAGTTTAAGTGTATTAGAACAAGATTTAGATTGTCCATCTTCCATAAGCCTCTGCAGTTTAACCGCTAGATCCTCTATCGCCCCCAACAAGGCAGTCTGTAATCCATATATTGAATTCACCCAACCCCAACTTGAGTTCCAATAAACGAGAGCCTCTTACAACCGCCATCTAACGTTCAACAACCGTTGAGGCGGTGGATTGATTGGAATGGATGTCCTCACCAAGCCAAACTCTTTTTGACATTATCTTAAATCAAATTTCGAGATGAATCCTGAGCTTAAACGTCCGAGGGCTTATGCACGAACCAAAAGTTTTATATAACATGATAATAATTCCAGCAAGACACCCTATACCAATGCCATTGTTTATGCCCGATTTCCCGTACTATAGTTTCGCTCGACGTGCTATATGGCGCAAAATAGCTGCTCTGTCGGCTAGGGAACGGCTTTAACGCTACAGCCGTCTTGGCTGTCAAGCATTAGCCTTCGTTTCATGGATCTGGGGTCGGTAGGGCCTTGTTTCATGGTTTCGATAAAATGCTCCGTTGATACTAGCACAGAGTAGGGCAGCACGCAGTGTTTGTGTATCCTAAACAGGTGACTCTTTGTAGCTGTCAGTAATAGACTGCGTCTTTATGCATCTCAACAACTGCACAGAGCATCAGCAACCATATTATGGCTGTTGTTAAAGGCTATGCCTGTCACGTAGCCATGTGTCGAATATATGATCATCAAACCGGAGTAGCTATGAAGGTATCAGAAAGGTTGATCTCTAAACTTTAAGACGTGGGGAACAGAAAGTAACTTGAAGATACCAGTCTTGAAATATTATCTGTCATAAATTTAGCAGCCATGCAGGCTCTCTGATTAAAGTCTGGCCAGGAACGTATTATTTTTGGGCAATGTCCAACTTACACGATCACCTCGCCTGGCACAACAAGCGGGAACGGACTTTTACTCCAACTTCCTACTCCGGTTGTTGAATATTACACTAAGTTGACCCAACGTAAGAGTGACAGGTTGGAGAATATGCTATTTTGGACACTGCAACCATTTCATCATCACTGTTTATCAGTATTCGAGGACTTGACAGCTCAGAGCACATGTGATGTAACATGTGAATATGTTAATGCTACCCCGGATCACTTAGGGCATTTTCCCTTTGCATTCTAAGCATACAGTACAGGTCAACATGGCGGGATACACGGCGCCGAGCATCTGCCATTGATGCTAACACATATTGTTGTGATAGCGGACCCCGCGGACATCTATCTGGCTATGATAGAAGACTAGATAAAGCGGCCTTACGGAAAGGTGCAACGTTGACTTGTAGAACCTACACTGTTGGGTGGCTGTCATCCTATTTACAGCGCAGCCAGCACGTCGAATAGACTACCAGAAGTGGCTTAACGTGGGTTCAGCTGGGCTGAACTTTGAAGCCGCTTCACCCGTCGGGGTTCATCGAGACTCCTTCAGCTCCGGCTGCGGGCTAATGGTCGATACTGTGCTTGTCTGGAAACCAAGCCACCACGATGAAGCAACGTGGTTGCGGTTACAGGAAACAACTGTATTTAAATGACGAGAGTGCCCAGCCATCAACAGATATGATAGTCTCATTATCTCCCATTCAACGGGATCATAGCCATAGTCCTCCTCCACTTACACCACATACCTCTTAAACAAATAATTTAAAGATGGGCAACCGAAAGATAGCAATCATTGGAGCAGGTCCAGCTGGTACGAGTCCTTCATCAGATAAAGATGCTTTCACTGACATATCCAGGATGCTTGTTAGCAAGGCTTCTTCATTTGGCAGGCGCAGAAGTCACTGTCTTTGAAGGAGAGGCTCACCCCAACTTCCGATCCCAAGGAGGTACTCTGGATCTACACACCGCTACAGGTCTTGCAGCCCTCAAAGAAGCACGGGTCTTTGATGAGTTTCTCAAGCACGCTCGCTATGACGGCCAGTACATGGCCATCGTAGACAAGAATTTAGAATATCACCTCGTGAAGACCGCAGTCGGCAAATACAACAAGATTGAAGAACGGCCCGAGATTGATCGTTCCAGCCTCAGAGAAATACTATCAAAGTCACTGCCCGAGGGCATGATCCGATGGGGTCACCATCTCAAGAAGATTGAAGGTCGAAGTCTTGTTTTCAACCACACCATTGTCGACGGATTCGATCTCATTGTTGGCGCAGACGGCGCGTGGAGCAAAGTACGAAAGGAGATTGATCCAAATCTTGTCCCAGAGTTTGCAGGCATCGGAATGCATGAGCTGGAAATCACAGACGCCGAAAACAACGCCTCAGATCTGTACAAGCTTGTGAATCGAGGAAGCATCTTTGCCAGCACAGATGGTAACCGCACATCTGTCCAACAGATGGGTGATGGCAGTTTGAACATATATTGCAGTTTCGTCACCGAAGACCCAGACTGGTACAAGCCGGAGAACTGCGATTACAACCCTCATGATCTGAAAGAGACAACACAGGCGTTACTTGAGACAAGGTTCCAGGATTGGGACCCTCGGCTCAAACAAGCAATCGAATTATCCAATGGCCGTTGCAATCCACGTTCACTTTATATGCTTCCCGTCGGTAGCAAATGGGAGCATAAACAGGGACTGACTCTTATTGGAGACGCCGCCCATCTCATGACACCTTACGCTGGTGAAGGTGTAAACCAGGCTCTCGATGATGCGATGCGACTTGCAAAGATTATTAATGAAGCTGCGAACGAAGACGACCAAGAACTGGACAAGGCGATCAAGGGTTTCGAAACATACATGTTTGCACGCGTCGCTCCTGTCCAACAACTCACATGGGATTTGTTGCGAGACTGGATGTATACGCCTGGAGCACCAAAAACTGTTATGGCAAAGTCCATGAGCAGACATGTGAGGCATCGACTGCCATGGGCGCTTCAACCGTTTGGCGTTGCGGCTGTGCACGGTTACTTCTTTTTGAAGAACATGCATTTGGTCAGTTGAAAGGTATCGTGACATAAGTTCAATGAAGAATAGAGTGTGAGAATGAATTACTGGTTGGTATGGATGCCGGAACTGTCGGTAGTTATTATTGGTAGCTGTTAGTGAGATACTTTTACTTTATACAAGCCATGGATGACAACATAAGTATCTCCTTGACTAGCATCAATTGTAGATGTCCCATGTGACCAGGGGTGCTGATCATCCATCATAAGAACCCCGGATCCACGAATCTCCCTCCCTCATGACCACTTCACCATAGCCTCGTGGAATTGCATTGAAGGCAATCCGCACGAACGCTACGGCTACTGTATCGCGATACGATGGATAGCTCCCAAGCGCCGCTGATTGCGGGCCATGGCGACGAAGAAGAGGAGCTCGATTATGATTCTGCCCAAGGGTCCCCCATCGAAGCGGGCAAGACGGAGAGCGGAATGCCTAGTGTATTTGTCTTGGCATTGACATTCGCTGCTGGTATCAGCGGTCTACTATTTGGATGTATGTATCCATTGTGCGTTATACTCGTCGAGTTTGTGCTGACAAGAACCCGCAGATGATACAGGAGTCGTTTCCGCTACCCTCGTTTCGATAGGAACATCGCTCTCGAACCGCGAACTAACCTCGATGGACAAATCGATCATTACTTCTTCCACGTCGCTCTTCGCACTTATCATATCGCCCTTTTCATCCGTTCTCGCCGATCGACTCGGACGCAAACATGTTATCCTCTACGCCGACATTCTCTTTATCGCGGGCGCCCTATTACAAGCATGGAGTTCTACAGTTCCGATCATGGTCGCAGGGCGGTGCATTATCGGTGCTGGAGTCGGCGCTGCCAGCTTCGTTGTGCCGTTGTACATTGCTGAAGTGGCGCCAGCTGCGCATCGAGGGCGTCTGGTAACGCTGAACATTATGTTTATTACATTGGGACAGGTCATTGCGTATATCGTCGGATGGGCTTTCTCGACCTATGGCTCTCAAGCCACAGGATGGCGATGGATGGTTGGCCTGGGTGCGTTGCCCGCGATCATACAAGGAGGTATGATTGCTTTTATGCCCGAGACACCTCGATGGCTGGTCAAGGTTGGTAGATCCAGCACAGCTAAGGAGGTTATTCGACGGGTCAATGGTGACGCATTGCAACACAATGCAGATGCAGTTATCAAGGAGATCGAGCTTGAAGTACGAGAGGAGCAGGAGGCGCAACGATTGCGTGATCACCGGGCATCCAGCCGTTGGAAGTGGCTTGGTGGATGGGAAACTCTCGTCAGTGAAGGAAGAAACCGCAGGGCTTTGGCTATCGCGTGCCTACTTCAAGGGCTGCAACAGCTTTGTGGCTTCGTGAGTAACCAAACAAACGACTACAATTTCTACAAATGGCTAATACTTTCACAGAACTCTCTGATGTACTTTTCTGCAACCATCTTCACAGTTATCGGCTTCCAGAGCCCTACACTTACCTCGATGGTGGTGGCCGTTACAAATTTCCTCGGAACAGTTGCTGCGTTGGGACTCGTTGATCGCATCGGCCGAAGGAGAGTGCTCCTATACTCGATCCCTTTCATGATGGTTGGCTTGTTGCTGTCGGCCTACGGATTCTCGTTCCTTTCGCTAGCAGCCGGAGTCAACACAGCCCCCGAGGAACCCCCTGCTACTACGGGACATGAGATGGCGGCCCTCACCATCCTTGTGAGCATCATGGTCTATGTCGCCGCGTACGCGCTGGGTCTCGGTAACGTCCCCTGGATGCAAAGCGAGTTATTCCCATTGGCGGTTCGATCGCTCGGTAGCGGTGTAGCAACGGCCACAAGCTGGGCCGCCAATTTCGTTGTGGGTTTGACGTTCTTGCCATTGATGGACCTGCTGAGCCCGTCTTGGACATTCGTATTGTATGCGATCATCTGCGGCGGGGGATACTTCTTGGTGTGGCGCATCTATCCCGAGACGGCGGGCTTGAGTCTTGAAGAAGCAACGGCTTTGCTGGACGACGGTTGGGGCGTTCGATAGTGCATCCTGATTTAGTAAATAGATAAACATCATGATATAAACAAAGCCAGCTATCTCTCGGAATTGACATCGAAACGATAAGAATATTTGTTTTCTTGGCCGTAGTTCCGAGAGTGTTCCGTGGGTAACAAGACGGAAATTCGGAAGGTGACGACCGGGTTATACACGGTAAACCACGGCATGTTGAGCAAGGAAATAAACAGAAACAAAGACAAAGGCAAAGAAAAGCACGGGAATTGAAAGTGAGTGAGGATGGGAATCGCTGTGGCCGAAAAAGTTACATCACCGTGCATGTCTAAGCTTGTTCGAGAAGCTTAAAGGTGGAACCACTTCGGCATCACACTCGGCCGGCTCCCTCCATTGGCTGGGGCCATTTTGGTGATTTGCGCAACGAAGCGAAATACGATGGGATGAAATGCGTGTAAGATCCATAACAAGGGAGGAGGAGGAGAAGAAGGATTCTGTTGATGGTGTTGACAGCAAGTCAGCAAAAGGAACCCGCAAGCATTACGATAACCGGATATTACTGCAGGGACCAATTCAACGGTTAGACAGTTAACAGTCACAATCCAAGACATCGAGTTCATGCTGTATCCATGATTCATACAGCTCAGGGGCATCTTGTCAATAAACGACTTGGTCCATGCTTCAAATAAATCTTGAATTCCCCGTTGATACCGTAGATGGATCTAGGGGGCCATCAGGGGCAAGGGAACCTTTGAAGCCCAAATATGGAGACGGTCAGTCACTGGCTTGAGAAAAAGAAGATTGGAATTGAGATAGTATCCATGCACGGCAATTCGGCCCAAGACACAGAGATCGATTGACTCATCTGATTTGTTTTTCTCGCTGTTGTCTTGCTTACCAAGATGATCCGCAAGCACGGTGCATTTTATCAGTAAGCTGGCCGCATCAAACGCCCTCACTGATCAATAATCGTTGGAAGGGAGCAGGAGAAAGCCCTGCGGATATAGCGTCTATCAATCGGATATAGGACTCAGCTGCAGGCTGCAGACAGCAGTAGAGACTCACTGATAAGTGACTGCAGATGGGTGCTCGGACCTTGTCTAGCCTGTGCGGCGCCGTGCCGAGCGTGGGTGCCGAAGAATTAGTGGATCCTTGTCCCGGAGCAAAGAATTTTTCTCTCGTGGTTGCCAGGGTCTGGCTGTTTGGGTCGTTGGACTGATCTGGTTCCTCGGTGGTAACGTTAGTAATGAATGGATCTCTGGTTTCATTTCTCGGCCAAGAGATTGGCACTAGGAATCGAGTGGACTCATTCGTACCTCGTCTAAGTCGATTACTTATACATGGCATCACCCTATTTTCGCCTCTTGTTTATGATATTCTTCATACTCCAGTACTTAAGACTGTTTTCAGCGTGTTAATTCGAGTCAATACCCTTCTCTTTTCTATTACATATTCCTGACTCGAACTTGACTCAAATTTGACTTGTCTTACTTGACCCTTTTCGTACTGGCTACAGCTAGCGTCGCGATTGAATCCGTCTCGCCTTTTCCCGACGAACCAGCCATTATCGGGTTTTAGCGTCATAGTTGGTTACGCTGCAGCTTATAACAAGACGGGAACCAGAAAGGAAAACTAGAGAGGTTATATACTGGATACATTCCGCCCACCCCTTTTTCTCTGCTTAATTTGCAATACCTTTCCGCATCGCAATTGCTCTAGTACAATACGCCTACTTGATTGAACTCCAGAAACTACACCAACGATGTCGGGGAACATCGTGGACCAGGAGCTGCTGGACGCAGAGCGCGCAGCATCTCCTCAGCGTTACCAACAGCGCGACAGTGCTGAAATCGAGCGAGTCATCTCCAACTCTACCGTCTCATCTTCATCCTCCGAGAACTCAGCCCGTCGACGAAGCCGTTCCATCGGCCAATACAACAGCATCAGCCGTGTCTCGACCCAGAACGACCTTGAGCGCCATCCCACTGCACTCAGCCGAATTCAAACCGCTCGTAGCCAGCACAATGCCACCGTCGGAGGTAGTCTGCGATCCCGAACTGCTTCGCGCGCCTCAAGGAAGCCTCTGCCCAACTTTGGCGCTGGAAAGCCTTATCCACCTCCCTTGCCTGAGCAGGAACAGTATGTTGTCGAGTTCGATGGACCCAATGATCCTATGCACTCGCAAAATTGGCCATTGAAGAAGAAGCTTATTACTGCTGCTGTTCTGGGTTTCACCACCATGACATCTGCCTTCACATCCTCCATTTTCTCTGCTGCTACTATGGTTGTTTCCGCAGAGTACAATGTTGGCAATGAAGTTGGTCTCTTGGGAACTACTTTCTACGTGCTTGGCTTCGCTTTCGGACCTTCTCTTTGGGCTCCTCTGTCTGAGTTGAAAGGACGTCGTTTGCCGATTCTCATCTCAATCTTTGGTTTCTCCGTCTTCTCAATTGGTTGTGCTACTGGCAAGGATATTCAGACCATTCTGCTCTGTCGGTTCTTTAGTGGTTTCTTTGGTGCTTGTCCTCTTGCTGTCGTTGCAGCTGTCTTCTCCGACATGTTCGACAACCGTACTCGAGGTACTGCCATCACTCTGTTCTCCATGTCCGTCTTCACTGGTCCTCTTCTCGCTCCCTTCATTGGTGGTTTCATCGTTGAATCTCACCTTGGCTGGCGCTGGACCGAGTATCTCGCCTCCATCATGGGTTTCACTGCTCTCATTCTCGACGTCATCTTTTTGGAGGAGACTTACCCTCCTGTCATTCTCATCGCCAAGGCGGCTGATCTGCGACGTCGCACAAAGAACTGGGGTATCCATGCCAAGCAGGAGGAAATCGAGGTTGATTTCAAGGAGCTTGTGCAGAAGAACTTTTCTCGACCTCTTCGTCTGCTCTTCACCGAGCCCATCATTCTCTTGCTCTCCATCTACATGAGTTTCATCTATGGTCTTCTCTACCTTTTCCTTACCGCCTACCCGCTTGTCTTTGTCGGTGTTCACGGCTTCAGCTCTGGCCAGTCTGGTCTCTGCTTCTTCGGTATGATCATTGGTCAGCTCATTGCTGGTGCCTCGGTCATTGCTATGCAGCCCTGGTACATCCGAAAGCTTGAAGCCAACAATGGCATTCCTATTCCCGAATGGCGACTTCCAAATGTCATGGCTGGTGGTGTCTCCTTCACCATCGGTATCTTCTGGTTTGGATGGTAAGTTACCCGCAAACACTTTGATCAAATTAGTACTAACCTCTACCAGGACTGGATACACCTCCAACATTCACTGGATTGTTCCCGCTCTGAGTGGTCTTTTCACAGGCTTCGGTCTCATGTCCATCTTCCTTCAGGCTCTCAACTACCTTGTCGATGCCTATCTCATGTTCGCCGCCTCAGCCATTGCTGGCAACACCTTCCTCCGATCCCTTTGCGGTGCCGGTTTCCCTCTCTTTGCCCGCCAAATGTTTGATGGCATGGGCATTCAATATGCCGCCACTCTTCTCGGCTGCGTTGCTGCCGTGCTTGCGCCCATTCCCTTCATCTTCTACCGATATGGTGCCAAGATTCGCGCGAAGAGCAAGTATGCTCCCACTGCTCCTCCTGCCCCTGGATCTGGTTCTTCTGCCGAGGAGGACGAGAAGGAGACTGGCAATGACACTGCTTTGGCGGCTGTCAGATCTCGACGTGACAGCGTTGGCAGCAGAAAGGAAACCGCCTAAACCTCACTACCATCTCTATTTACACGTTCTGCTAGTTTGACGACTGGCACCAACATCTAATGACGTTATCGCATCATCTACCCTGAAAGCAAGGCGTTTTTCTTTTGACTTGGGCTTGTGAGATGATGACGGTGTAGCGCGTTTGCACAAAAAGTTATTTGTTTTTAGATACCACGTTAGGAAATTTGCCCCAGATTATATGTACTTGCTCATGATATGAGACGGCTATGGAACGTTTTGATTTCATGTAATACCCTAATTAATACAAATTACAAACATCTTAAACTTGTAAGAGTCTCAATTACCAGAACAAACAGTCCAGTGAAGTAAGGGGGGAGGAAGTGAATGGATGGTTGCCTATTTCTGCAGCATAAATTCTGCTCTTTTGGAAGCTGAAGATCAACTCTGTCTTCCTTTATCACATAACTCAACAGTCATGAGATCCCTCTTCAACTCCATCATGCCGCCTCGTCGTCATTCGAAATGGCTACCCTTCAGGCGGAATAAGCCTTCCTCCAGCCAATCTTCTTCCTCGACAACCTCTCCCGCCGACAAGGTTCCTTCAACCAACCAACCCTCATCTTTGATGCCCTCTCCTGTCCCTAGTATCACTTCAACCACCAAGCTCTCTTCTTTGCCAACCTCTCCCGTCCCTGGAGTTCCTTCAACGAACGAACCCCCATTTTCAGCAATATCTCCTGCACCTAGTATTCCATCAATCGACCAAATTGCTCCCTCAACAATCTCTCTCACCCCCAGTGTTCCTTTCATAGGTACGGGCGATGAGGCAGACCGCGTGTTCCACACCCTCGAACTTGCACAGCAGATTGTGTACGAGCTGGAGCTTAGTGATTTCTTCAGAGCTTTGCCTATCACCAAGGCGCTATGGGAGAGCGAGATACCAGAGCGTGTCTAGATCGATCATCTCAAGCGACTGGGATATCCGGATTATGTCATTCGCAATACTTCACATTGTCTACGGACATGCTATCTATCTATCAGCCAGGCTGCTTTCGCCATTGGTGATGGCGTCCCTTCTATATCAAAACGAATCAAGATGGAAACAATCAGGAAGAAAGACTAGATATACTCGAAGTGCGAACAAAATATGGAACCTCCTTTTGTACTTCAATCTTCTGATGATGGAGAAACGGATCTCAAATTTTGGCAAGGGAAAACTACGGATCCTTTATTCAGCGCAAATTGCAGGATTGGCCTTTGACGGCCACGTATTTTGACCAGTTTTCCTCTGGAGGAAACTATCCAAGAAGAGATTGGCACTTTTACGATAAGTTCGCTGTCAGCACCTACCAGCTCCCCGGAGACAGAGAAAGGAAAATGTATCTCATGATCGAATTTTGGGACAAACAAGCCCAGAAACGTGGAGAGTCAATCTTCCATGTAACTGACTTATGGTCAGAGAATTACCCCAATACCTCTGTCACGTTAGAGGACGGTTCCTATGAAATGAAGCTACTCCTCAGTCCCAGTCCCTCGCCTGGTCGTATGCATTATTTTTCGGATCAAGCCAACCACTATTTGACATATGGGAACCAAAACAGTGTCAAATCATGGGGTCTTGAAACCCTAGAAGTGATATTTGAACGCAGCCTATCGGTTGAGGACAAGAAGGAGCGCGGATGCTCTCTTGCTGTGGAAGACGGTATTATGTTCTTGCGCGATAAGTCATTGCCGGACGGGACCACCTGTGGGTGGGCAGTAAACGGAAAACGTATATCTAACAAGGTTGCTGAGAGGCTCGCGCCGTCAGCTCTTGATCCCCCTGACTGGCATCGCACCACGATTTATTTGCATTCACGGGATCGCTCACCACTACCCCTGCTGAGATATACTGATGGAAGGATTGTACCTCTTGGTTCTGGCCGTCGTTGTGGTACACTCTATGATAGATTCCTGTTTACCATTAGTCTAGACATAGACTCTACAAGAGAATGTACATGTTGGGCGATGGATATTAGTACGAAGGAAGGGGAGAGGATCAACTCAACATGTCTGGCAATCCAGGAAAACTATACCTGGTTCGTTGATATCCTCGGACGGCTAGTGATAATGTATCAAGACGCAGATGGACACATGGAAGAATGGGAAATGATAGATTTCCGAGGAGTACAGACGTAAGAGGGACAGAACGAAGAAGTCTCTGATATCAGATCTCAGAATCTATTGTACCTACTCAGTATTAGAAGAAATTGATGCGTATTTGCCCGTCTATGTCCTGTTTCATGTCACCATATACTCAGAAGACTGCCTCATCTCTGGGTCCATCTTAGGACATAAAAGTACGCTCGCCTTCTAAGCTTCGTCGTAGAAAGTAAACTACACAAAAAGAATAAATTAGCCTACTTGTTTATTATCCTTGAATCTTTCCAACTCAAGTGGTAATCCTCATGAGGCAGGTAATAATTAGAGGTCGTCTTATACAATAGAGTGGTCTAGCCAGGTTGGGCGTGGTGTGCACAGACTTGAAGCGAACCCCTGTTGAATAATTTTGTCAGCCATGACTCGACCTAATTTGAAATCTGCTTAATCTCATCTCACTCCCCATTTCTTCTTCCTACATAAACAGAATCTCAGCCCTACAAGGCTCATCCCTTAAGCCACTCTCGTTAAAAAAAAAAAAAAAAA